GAGGGATAACTCATAAAAACCAGTGTTAGAAAAGTGAGAAACTACGGGGAGACCCACATACTGAGAGAGGGATCTGCTCCACACGGACGGACGGGCTATAGATCCAGGACTCAGACTGTAGAACGAGGACTGAGGATGTAGATCCAGGACTCAGACTGTAGAACGAGGACTGAGGATGTAGATCCAGGACTCAGACTGTAGAACGAGGACTGAGGATGTAGATCCAGGACTCAGACTGTAGAACGAGGACTGACGATGTAGATCCAAAACCTAAGCGACAGAACGTGGACCAGGGCCACGCAGCGGCCGCAGAACGTGGACAGGTCCGGTGCAGGACTGAGGCACTCCCAGGCGGGTAGGCAGGGCAGTCCGCAGGTGTAGATGGAGGAGGCCAGGTCCAGAGGTCTCGTGGTCGCACCATGAAACAGACAATGGGACAACGGGTGAATAGCAATGAAGAGACTAGAGTAAAAATACACATAAAGCAGACAGATAAAGTAGGAAAGAGGAGAGGATAGTGCTCAAGTTACCGTACTTCTCCCAGCAAACTGACTCCCTACGCAGCTTGACTGACAGTCTAAGATGTTTAGCCTTCCCTGAGTCTTACCTTCCTGACCATCTGCTAAACTGAAGAGGACTGTTTTAGCCTAGCCTAGAACGTAGGGTTGAAGATGAAGATAATCTAGTTTTAAAAAGATACAAGAAATATCTCCTTTAATCTTGTTTAAACACAGTCAGAATGTGTCAGATGAAGTTAAAAACCACTGGATTTAAGCAACTATGACCTCATATTGGATCATTATTTTGCAGCGTGGTCTCTGCTCTCTGTGGGATGTATTAATATGACTTTTCATGAGATATTTATTGTTTACATTAATGAAGGAGGAGAAGTAACGTAGAACTCAATAGTAAACCACAAAACTCTTTGTTATGTGATAGTGGGGGTTTTGAGGATTGACCTTAAAAAGGTAGATTAAAAATGCCAGAAAGGTGCGAATAAAATAATTTATGGATTAAAGAGCTGGGCGTTTCCAATAAAACCCGAAGTTAAAAATGAATCTAAATCATGGTTTAATACAATATAAAATAGATAAAATAGTAATTAATAAAAAAAACAGGATTTAAAGGAATTCAAAAGATGAAATGATGAATTTGATTGAAAATGATGGGTCAGAGGGCCTGGTCCTTTCACCGGCAGATGACGAAAGGGCAGCACTCCCACGGCATAGGGGGGGGTTCCGCGCGCGCTGCCGCTAGCGTCGTACGGACAGGGAGAGCTCCCCGCTCTCCCGCTGCATCCTCTGACGTGTACGCTGCTCAGTCCCTCGCCTCTCTTTCCCGGCGAACGCTGCGCACTCACTCCTCCTACGGGCGCCGGTCAGCCGGCGGAGCTCAGCCCGTCGCAACAGCACACCAGGGCCAGACGCACAGCAACAGGATCCCCCTTCAGCCCAAGGCATTCATAACCGGTCTACACAAGAACAAAATCACCGGCTGGCGGGTCCAAATGCCCTGCCTCCTGTGTAGTTCTCGTCGGTGGTGCGGGGGTCCAGACGTGGGTGCCATGGTGCTGGCCCGGTGCGCGCTGGTCTCTCCTTCCGGGCTCGCTCCCCTCGCTGCGCGTCCGCTCCCCTGTGTGGGTCTCATCCTGATCTCTTGCATGGCATCGTTATACCAGTCACCCTCAGACACAGGTGTTCTGATTTGCACTCAGGTGCAGGCAGGTGTGGCGGGTAACCATGGCTACTGGGAGCTTGAAAGAAAACACCAGCAAACTAAAAAACATGCAAACAAAACACATGGCCATCCCAGTCCAGACCGGATTACATGTACGTCACTCCGGTCTCGTTAATTTTTCGCGAATGTCTTTTTGATGAGTTTATTGATAGTTTCACCCCTTAGCTGTTTCTATCTGTCAAATGAGTTTTAGTTAACACATAAAAACCACAATATACGAACAAAAATAAGATTAGGTCCCTTTTTAAGAGGCTTTTAAAACATGTTAAAATGTGTTCCTGAATCTGCCTCAGAGAGAAAGAGCAAGCCGGCAGCCTTTCTGGTGGAATTGGATCAGTGGGATCAAGGGCACATTAGCGGCCCCACTTGAGGCTGGCCTTTGCGATGATATTACAAAGTCATGGTTGAGGTTTCAAAAAACATATTATTACCAGTATATCCCTTATTGCTAAACTGTCGCGATTGTTGACTGTAAAGGAAATATGTTTCAACTTTTAAAACAGTGATAAGCATCGTAGAGACTACGATGCATTCTCCCCTGTGAGCTGTGCGCATTTACGTTACCCTTGCCTCACAGGCACGCTCTTGTCCACAAAAAGTAGGCAAAAAAGATATGAATTAGGCAGTCCATTGAATGATAGAGTTCGGCACAAATCACATAAATAGTGATCTATTTCCTTTTAAGGTTTTTTTGGGGGGGTTTTTTTCCATTAAATTGGCAGGGTTTTTCCATAATCTCATTTTCCCCCAAAGCTAAATACTGTATCTTCTTACTTTTGGAGGTGTGTTGTTGCTGCAATCATTCTTTAATTACTGAATATTATTCAAGCAGGAGACTTGTTGCTGTTTAGGTGCTAGAAGGTTAAAGGCTTTGTTGGTCTGCATGAGGCACTTTTCATTTGTCTTTGTTCTGTGAAAATGTGGCTCAAAGAGCAGACATGTGGAGTTTTCCCTTTGGTATTTAGTAGACACAGAGGAAGTGAGCAGTTCAATATAAGTCATCACAAGACGAGAGAGTGTGCGCCACGGGCACCAACACTCGGCCAAACCATCTTTTCCTGGAAAACATCAGAACAAGAGGCTTTCATGGTCAGCCAACCAAGAGTGCTCCTCTGTATTAGATATTTTTGTGGAGCAGTTTATGTGTTTTAGCCCTGTGCACTCAAAGCAACAAAACCTTGAACTTATTTACATGTTTAGTAATCTTCTTGTTACTGATACAATATGTAAGTAAGGATATTGTTTAGTGCTTTCAGGATCATTAAGGCGCTTCACATTTTAAAACTGCAGATATAGATATTACACAAACATTGTTTTAAAGAAACAATACAGACTGTAACCACAAGGTTAATAAACTAAAGAAAGGCAAAGGAACAATGATCAATCAAACACACAATGAATCTTAAGTTTTAATACAAAAGGGTTGTATGTTTTGGTTTTACGCCCGGTTCCCATGTGTCCAATTTCATTGATTTCACTCAGGCAAAGTGCAAGGGTGCACCCCTGGGGACATTGAGTATAGGAGGTCACATGTAAGTGAGGAAGGAGAATATTGTAAATATATATAACACCTAAACAAAATCATGAATGTGTACAATGTGGAAAGACTGACAAATAAAACCCAACCATCATGTCTGATATAAATGGTCGAAATGTGTTAATGCAGCAAAACCAAGGACAGCTTTGATGTTTTTGTGTTTCATATGGCTTTTCAATGACTTATGCCGTAACCTATCAGAAGGGTCAGTGCTGTTTTGTCTTGTTCGCTTAGTCCTCTGTTATGTAACTTTGGCATTTGCTTCTGGCTTTGCTTTCATGAAAATATAAGAAAATTGGTTGAACAGGGCACTGGACTATTCTTGGTCTTGGTCCACCTGGGGGACACGGTGGAACCTCAATATACAGTATCTGCTCTATGACCTGGCCCAGTGGTGTTCCATAGAGTTAGAAATGTTTGACGTGCAGGTTATGAACTATTAATAGGAAATACAATTATTTAGTACAATATATTGTTGTTGAAACCAATTGCATAAGGATACAGGGCAAGCAGAAACAAAGGCTGCAGATGCTCTTGGAATCGTTCTGCTTTTCTCTGTGTTTCCAATTGTTTATACTGCGTCTTTTTGGAGTCATTTGGGGTTTTCAGATCTGGTTAACCAAAAATTAGCCACATTGTCTGCAAGTTTTTTGGACCGTGTTTATCTTTGTGTAGCCAGAGAGGAGGTTATGGGCTCTCTGGTTAATCTAATTTATTAATTAGGAAATAAATAGTTTAAATTCATTTAACTTTCAGAAAGAGCCTGTGAGGTTGCAGGTTTTCATTCCAACCAAGCAGGAGCACACCAGACTCCACCCATTTCCCCTTGTCTTCAGGTTAAGACTGGATTCACTTGAGGAAATGGGTGGAGGACCGGTTTGACATCCCTGATCTAACTAAGTACTGGCTTTAAAATAGTTTGGTTCTATGTCACATGCATTTTCTGGGCCTTTGTCACATCTTTAGATCAGATTTTTAAGGTTAAACCAAAAAGTGAAAAAGGGTTGGACCACCCTCACTCAGCCAATCAGCTCTCAGCTCAGAGAATCAAATGGTGACGCTCAGTGTTTGTTGCTTGTTTTGGTTCACAAAATGTTACTCTCTTTTGCGACAAACATGGATTATTTATGAAACAAAAAAGTAAGGTACCCTAGCTTTAACAATAGGCAGGTAACACTGTCTGGATCCCAAGGCAGTGGTCACGGTGCAATGTCTGGAATCCAGGTCAAAGCAGAAAGCTGTTTGTTTGATAACAAAGCCTCTTTAGCAGAGTTTTGAGAAAGTAGCAGTAATATTCAACCCTGGAGATTGTGTTTTCATTTAAGTTTATTCTCTTTCAAACCAAAAAGAAAAAAAGAAGTCAAAGTTATATAAAAAGTGACAAAAGGGCTGAAATCAGTGATTTTATACTTCCTTCTTCATTATTACGCTAAATATAGAGATTTTCTTTCATTTTAGTATAGAGATATTGTTCTTTTAACTTGTGTTGTGTGCTCCTCATTCTCACTGATCAGTAACGGGTGATGTATCACTGAAATATCCCCACCGTGGGACAAATAAAGGATCTCTTAATCTTACTCTTAAACTTAATACGTTTTAGTAGTATATCAGTGACTTAAGTATATGTGGATAAGGAACCTTGTGTGTAACATGACACTGTTCTATGCTCAGTCTTTGCTCATATGGACTTCACAAATGTTGATAATACCTGTGTCTGTAGGCCTTCATGATGGAGCTGACAGCGCACCAGAGCAGTGTGGGCAATGTCCTTCAGGCAGGAAACCAGCTGATCGCTCAGGGCCACCTCACAGAGGAGGAGGAAGAGGAGATCCGGGAGCAGATGAGTCTGTTAAACTCTCGCTGGGAGAGCCTCCGAGTGGCCAGCATGGACCGCCAGGCCAGGTGCAAACTCTGCTAAATATATCACAGTGAATACCTAAAGTTATAACAAAAAGCATACCAGTCAAAAGTAAAATAAAAGTTTTTTTTTTTTTTTTATCTGCCTAAATGCCTACATTTGTAACACTTGACAATTGCCCTGACAAAGACATGTTTAAAGTACTTTTATTTTCCCCACATAAAAAGTGAAAATGTAGCTTTAATTCAACCAACATTGCACTCATTAGAACCTGAGCTGAACACATGGGTATTTTTATTGTCCAAAGTTTTGCGTGAGCCTACGCTTATGTCTCTAATATGTAACCTTTGTATGTCACATGTGTTATACGCATGTTCAAATATGTTAAAAGTAGCATGCATGGACTGAACTTCAGTATATACAGGTCCTTCTAAAAAATTAGCATATTGTGATAAAGTTCATTATTTTCTTTAATGTACTGATAAACATTAGACTTTCATATATGTTTGATTCATTACACACAACTGAAGAAGTTCAAGCCTTTTATTGTTCAAATATTCATGATTTTGGCAAAAAAGTTAAGAAAAAACAAACATCACTATCTAAAAAATTTGCATATTTCATCCGACCAATAAAAGAAAAGTGTTTTTAATACAAAATAAGGGATCGGGAATGCAGCGTGGCATGGAGGCAATCAGCCTGTGGCACTGCTGAGGTGTTATGGAGCCCCAGGATGCTTCGATAGTGGCCTTAAGTTCATCCACAGTGTTGGGTCTGGTGACTCTCAACTTCTTCTTCACAATATCCCACAGATTCTCTATGGGCGTCAGGTCAGGAGAGTTGGCAGGCCAATTGAATACAGTAATCCCACGGTCAGTAAACCATTAACCAGTGGTTTTGGCACTGTGAGCAGGTGCCAGGTCGTGCTGAAAAAGCTTTTCAGCAGATGGAAACATGAAGTGCTCCAAAATCTCCTGATAGCCAGCTGCATTGACCCTGCCCTTGAAAAAACACAGTGGACCACCACCAGCAGCTGACATGACACCCCAGACCATCACTGACTCTGGGTACTTGACACTGGACTTCAAGCATTTTGGCATTTCCTTCTCCCCAGTCTTCCTCCAGACTCTGACACTTTGATTTCCGAATTACATGCTAAATTTGCTTTGATCCAAAAAAAGTACCATTGAGCAACAGTCCAGTGCTGCTTCTTTGTAGCCCAGGTCACTTCTGGCACTGTTTCTGGTTCTGGTTTCATTTCCTGCACACGCCTGTGCACCGTGGCTCTGGAGGTTTCTACAGTGTTGCTATAACTGGCACTTTTACAGAAATTCTCATTCATTTGCTTGTCTGTTCAAATAAATCAATGAATGAAAATAGAATAAAAATACTACTGCAGACTATTTTGTCCCGTCCTGGAGAGCACCTGTGTACACATGGTTTTTTTACACTGTGGACCCTGCAGCGCTCCCTATTGCTCTTTATTTACCTTTTATTTATTAATCTTGTGTCTGTGCGTTTGTCTGCAGGCTACATGAAGTCCTCATGGATCTTCAACAGCAGCAGTTACAGCAGCTCTCTGATTGGCTGACAAAAACAGAAGCCAGAATCAGAAACATAGAGACTGAACCGGGGGCTAAAGACATGGACACATACAAAGAGCTAATAGAGCAGCACAAAGTGAGTTCATTGGTGCTAATAATATCACGTGTGCACATGTTAATCTCTGTTGTGTTTTAGGAGCTTCAGAATGACCTGGAGGCCGAGCAGGTGAAGGTGAACTCTCTTACACACATGGTGGTAGTGGTGGACGAGAACAGTGGTGACAACGCCACCGCTGCGCTGGAGGTGCAACTACAAGTAAATGTCACACTACTATATGCTCTAGAACAGGGGTGCCCAAACCTTTTGCTTCCAAGGGCCAAAGTAAAAATTTGCCAGTGGGCCGCGGGCCAAATACACCAATATTATGCATGAAACACAAATAAATGTAGATTTGATCGAGTTCTTTTAAATGCATTAAGTATTGTCTAGCAGTGCAAATCACAGCTGAATGAATGAAATCAACACAGTCTTAGTGAAGTGGAGACTCCAGGGAAATATGCAGGTTTGAGGAGACTACAGTACGGAAAGATTCCGGCCGGGTAATCAGGGTCCAGAGGAGGGAGATTTTCTGTCATGGCTTATTTAAAGGTTAAAATCATATAATAAAACCTCAAAAAGAGAACAGAAACATACATTTTGTGTGCACCATGTGCACTTGTATATTGTAAATAGTAACTAACTCTATTTTAAATTTAAATGTATTCCTTAGAAGTGTTTTTTATTCTTTATTTTTATTATCTCTGTTGCACTGAGCCAAAGCAATTTCCAAGTCTATTTTCATATATTTATTTTGAACAAAAGTTTTTAACTACATTTGAATCATATTACTTTATCTTAGCTTTTATCAAAAAGGGGAGACATCACTGATCAATAGATCTGGTTTTAGCACACTTTTAAACAATACATTTTAACATTAAGTAATGAATTTGGGAACATAATTGCTAACTGCATTTTCTAAACATGATCAGGTTTTAACTCTTTTAACTTAATATTTTTAACATAGGACAAGTATTCTCAATTAGTAGTGAACTGAATATTAAACTAACAAAATCAGACTAGTTAACCATGATTTGTTCCTGGAGTTTTGTTTTGTTTTGCCTAAACACAGTACAAAATTTATAAACAATCAAAACAAAGTAACTGTTAAAGAGTCCGAGTTTCCGCTCCTCCAAAGGGCTCTTGAACGCATCATAAAACTCCGCGTAAGTTCTGTCTGACATTCAATGATCGCGAGTGAGGACGGCGCTTACCGGCTTCTTTCATGGGGTTGTAGAAGAGTTTGTTTTCACAGTATTTGTTGCTTCTACTTGCGTGGATCGTGCGCTGCGATCCCTACTTGTCATGCTTGAACTCACTCTGAAGTGTTTGTGTCCGTCCTTTTTAACACACCGGGTGGGTGCGGATTGCGCAGGTGAATAGTTCCACTCGCCATTTCCCTCCGGTGAGGAGGGGAAGTGGCAGTTCGGCAGCACAATCCTCTCAATTTGATAAAACATTAAATAGCTCCAAAAAATAATAACAGTAGGCTGAAAAAAAAAGAATATAAAGGGGCCTTGCACCCAATTGTTTTGAAAGATGTGTTTGATTTTAAAAAACAGTTTAGTGCAAGTTGATGTGAACCATGAGTGAGGAGTGTATCTCGATACACCAGTAAAGTACTGGACAGTCGGAATTCAGAGGGCTACTCTGCGCCCGCGCGACCTCAGACACGTCACTGTTTGTTCAGCGAGGCTGAGGGACGCAGATAGAAACTTACAGCGGAGGTGGGCAATGTTTGGCGGGCCAACTGAAATGGTCTGGCGGGCCAACTTTGGCCCGCGGGCCCCACTTTGGGCACCCCTGCTCTAGAACATTCTAAACAATATTTGTACGTCTGTAAAAGGAATCTTGTAGTGCGGCTTACCATGGATCATGTTTTTCAGTCTTTAGGCGAACGTTGGGCTGCGGTGTGTCGCTGGACAGAGGAGAGGTGGCACAAATTGCAGGAAGTGCTCATGATCTGGCAACAACTTCAATCAGATCAGGTAGAAAAGAATGTGGCCTTTATTCAATTATATTAAATAAGTGAACAATGCGTTCAATTTGATCTCACACACATAGATACAGTAGATAAATAAACAGACAGACAGATAGATGGATGGATGGATAGATAGACAGACAGACAGACAGACGGACGGACGGACGATACTTAGAAATCTGAGTATGCACAATGAGAATGTTTAAGTTCGACAAATACTTTGCTTTCTTTGATCTCAGAGTTTATTCAAAGACTGGCTGACAGAAAAAGAGGAAGCCTTGAATAACGTCCAAACTAGTAACTTTAAGGACCAAAGCGAAATGAATACAAATCTGCGGCAGTTGGCGGTAAGTGTATTGTTGTAAAACTTGCTGTAAGATTTTAGATTGTAAGAAACGAAACATTGCGGGTGAATAGATTCTCAAAGAAGACATGGAGAGGAAGAAACGCACTCTGGACCAGCTTTCGGATGCAGGGCAGGATGTGGTGTCGTTACTGAGGAGCCCGGAGGCCGGAGCAAAGATAGAAGTCGACACCGAGGAGCTGACCCACCGATGGGACAACCTGGTCCAGAAGCTAGAGGACTACTCCTTCCAAGTCAGTGAAATAATGAAAGAAATTGAATCTATATTTTAATTGCATTACCCTTGGATAAACACTACGATTGAAATTAGATTTGCAATTTACTGGTGTTTTAAGGAATTTTTATTTATGGATTTTTATTTTATTAGTTGAATTCAGAATTTTGTTTTCACTGTAATTGCTTTAATTTTTTTATCAATTAAAACTTTTAAAAATAATTAAATAATTAAATTGAGTTATAAAATAAGATTTGCCAATGGGACAAGCAGTGTTTGTATCATCCCGAGGAAGAATTTTCTTGTGTCTATTAAACCAAGACATTTTTCCTTGTTCTCTTGTCAAAACATACTCAGTCAATACTAATTCAAGCATTTTTTTTTCTTACATATTTGTGCCACGTTTTGCAGTGAATTTGACTAGTTTAGTCTAGTTTAGATAATATTTTAGCATTGAGTACTATGTATAAGTTCCACAGGTAAAACATAAAGTTTATTTTACATTTTTGTACAGAATTTTTCAACTCCAGAGCCCCATCCAAGTTTCTTTTGACGTTTCTTCCAACCAGTTAAATATTTGTTTTGGTCACTAAAGCAAAAAATCTAACATCTGCAAAGATGCCTAAATCTATGACAATGACCTGAGTTTTTAGACGAGCCTGACTCCATCAATCATCATCTGTTTTTAAACATCATAAATATTTGAAGACAGACTGAAACAACTTTCGGTTTCAGATTCATTTTATTTTCCTTTTTCAGTAAAACCACATAGGAACACATTACTTTTACAGGAAACCCATGCATTTACACACACAATCCACATTTCATTATACTTTCTCGCATTGAAACCATCCCAACATTGTACTATTCCTGACACTATGTGACACTGACACTAGGTGATGGAAGCAGTAGCTGATGCTGGGATGACCCCGATGGAAGAGCAGGTGACTGTGGATGCATCTGCTGTAAAGGTTCTCTCCTCCACTGAAGACCAAGACGTGGCACCACCGGCTCCTCCAAAGAAACGACTGCTGGAGACCGAGCCACAAGTCAGACAAGTGTGAGTGTCCTAAAACCGGCACTCTACTCTATGACGTGGAAACAATTTAACCTCCAATCTGTCTTTAGGTTTGAAAATAAGCTATCAGAATATCTATGCTGGATAAAAGCATGGAAGACCTCAACGCAAACTTTAGCCTCTGGAAACTTGGAAATCGCAAGTAATACTACGGATATTCGGGGAAAACTAAATGTAAAGTGTGATTTAAATCACTCCGATAATTGTACATATATGCACTGTGTTTTGTTAAATGAGTGTGTATATTTCCCAAGGAATTGGAAAAGGAACTAAATTCAAAAGAAGCCTCAGTCGGACAAGTAATTCAGGAGGGACGTGGCCTGGTGGAGCAGCTGGAGAGAGGTATGGACTGAAATGACCACTGAGGACTTGGACTGTAGTAGTAATGATAAAGGACTCTTTAATCAAGGAAGAACAAAGCCATGTCCCTGTCCGCTCCGACAGTGACTGGGTACTTTATTATTATTGATTGATAAATGAGAAAGTTAGTTAGTAGAGTTTATTTGTATAGCACATTTCAGAGACCAGGATCACAAAGCGCTTCATACTTAAAAACATACAATTAAAAATAATACACATACAAGTCAGATTCAAAAACAAAAAAACAGAAGAATCTTGAACTCTATGAGTCGCTTTAAGATGATAATCTTAAAGCTACTTATAAACATGGTGTCTAAAGGTATGTAACTGAGGCGGTTTTAACAATTGCAAGTGAGGAAATAGATATTATTGAAGCTGGGAGATTTTTCCCGTCCCCAGGGGCTCCATAGCAAAAGGCCTGTCTCCCAATATCTTTATTTATTCTTGGAGTAATGCAGGCGGTATGCTGTATTGATTGGCGTTTTCCTGTTTTTTGTCATGTAACCTTGCCTTGTATCTTTGTCATGCTATCTACTTCCATGCATTGAAACACACGGGCCTTTGCAGAGGGAGTGAACATGGAGGTGGTGCGGGGGGAGCTGGAGCTGTTGCAGACGGACTGGGACGTGTGTGTGAGGGAGCGACAGGCGGCGGAAGACAGAGTGCAGACCCAGAGCCGTCACAGCGCTGTGTCTGCAGAGCTGAGCCACGTGGACCAGGCCCTGAACCGACACGACGACTGGATCCACTCAACCCCAGCGGACACACGTGACGGACAGGAACTCCGTCAGCTCAGCCAAGAGGCCAAGGTAAATGTGTTGAAATGATGCATCCCTTGCTCTAAAATGAGTGTTTAGTAATCGAATTGTAGATAAATACAAATTTATAGAAGTTATTGTACTTTCCGGACTATAAGCTGCATAGTTTTTCTAGGGTTTTTAACCCTGTGACAACCAAATAAACAATACATTAATATAGCAAATGCAGCTAATTTATGTATTATGCTGCTAAGATGTACAGATATATACTTCCAACTTTATATTTCTTGCACAAGAATATACAGTATTTTTACTTGCTTCTTTATTAGGCTAAAGTTAAGTATAGAGTTTTCATTCACTTATCTAGTGCTGTGTGCTCTTCATTACTACTATCCTGTAACTGATTAAGCACTGCAATTTCCCTTCTGTGTGTCGAATACAGGATCTCTTATTCTTAATCTTAATTTTTATTGTGGTAGCGTTGTCAGAGCAAAGTTTATGGACTAATTCTTTTGACTGCATCAAGTTTTATTAGCTTTAGGACACTTGGTTATTGTCAGAATTAGACTGGTGAATGAGTACATGGAAGCTAACGGTTAAGCTGTTAAACACCTCGTCATTAAATCATATTGTGACCAGTTAAAACGGTCATCTACGTGTTACATTACATCATGAAAACCTGCGGCTTATATTCGAGTGTGGCCTATATGTGACCTACTTTCTTTTAAAATGTAGCTGGTGCGGCTTATATGCTGGTGACCGTGCCCCTAATAGTCCGGAAAGAAACAGATAGATAGATTCATTGTAATTCGCTCAATTTGTCCGGACTGGATCTGAAGACTTGAGGAAATGGCTGGAGTCTATGTGCTCCAGCTGGGTTGGAATGAAAACCTGCAGCTACTGGGCCCTTTGAAGACTGAGTTCTATAGCCCTGGTGTAGACAGTTTTTGCCAAATGGGATTCCTAATAACAAAATGAGACCAGGCCATACATTTAACATATAATCAGGTGGCTATGTTTCAATTATGGTCTTTTTTTCTCCCCAAATATTTATAGTCGAGACTGGATGATGTAAGCTCTCTGGGCCCCCGGCTTGAGCGATTGTCTACTGAAGCAGGGCCCTCTCTCCGGGACACGGTGGTGCTGGTGTCTGCGCATCACGCCTCCACACTGCAGCAACTACAGGGCAAAGAGGAGCAGATCTCCACTGGTACATTTCAAAAGTATTATGTTTCACTCAAAAGAGCATACAGCCCTTCAGCATTCCCTTATACGACAACACCGTTTCCATGAAAGAGTTGATATTGCGAATCACATAGATTTAGGTAGTTCACGGCCTTTTCAACCCACGGTATTGAAAAATTTTGTAAAAAATATATAGAAATAATATCACTTTTTTACGTTTAACTTGTGAAATTAAAACATAGTACTGCAAGCTAATATAATGTCTAAAAGAAAGCTTGTCATCTCCTGGTCCAACGTGTGTGAATGTGTTTGTGTGTGTGTGTGTGTGTGTGTGTGTGTGTGTTGTGTGTGTGTGTGTATGTGGGTGTGTTTGTGTGTGTGTGTGTGTGCGGGGCCGTCATGACTCTAGGGATTTGGATTGGAGCCAAACTAAACCATTTTGTTTCTGCTTCAAGGCCGTTTATCCTTTATCTAAGGGGCCCCTCTATGTCTCTGTACAGCTCTGCACTAGTGGCACTCAGTGTATATAAACCAGATTATGTAAGCGTTAAATTACCTGGTAATTAAAACACAACTGGGACAAATACACGTTGTGTCCTTGGGCAAGACACTTAACCCCACTTTGCCCAAAGCCCCCGCTGAAAGATCAAGGCTATGCTCACACTCAGAGAGCAGCCGTCCTCCTGTGGACTCACCACCTGCAGAGGGTCAGTGAGGGGCTGGTGCTATGAGACTTGGGTGGCATCTCTGATTGCCACCCCCCTGACCCAGAAATGGATTAAAGGGTAGAAAATGGATGGATGGATGGATGGGACAAATACAAAAAAAAGTCCCATAGAAAGAGGCTGGAATGCAATTAGCCATGTAATCCCAAACGAACAACAAACACGGCACATTTTAAACAGTCCCATTATATTCTATAGCTTGATGAAACCTAATTGGTTTATAGTGGCATCTGCTGGATAAAAATTGTCTTACCATCATGATACATAAACTTGAAATGGTTTCACATTTGCACTGGCAATATTTAATATTAGGCATTCCGTTAAGTTGTTGGAATGTTTATGTAAATGTCCCTAATAACTCTCATTTAATTGGTATTGTCGTTGATAATACTGTCATCTAGTGGTGAAACATGAAACGGAACTAATATTCTGATTAATGAGGTATGGGGAGAACATGAAAAATGTATACCATAGAAAAGACACTTTTTATTACTTTTTGTACAAATTAATTATTTTACAATGCCTTTTTCAAATTCTTTATTGTAATACGTGAGAACAGGTGTACAAGCAAATCCTGTCCTGCTATAATCCTTTCTCAAATAAAAAACAAACAGACCAAACTGGTTTAGCCTCTTCATACGGGAGATAGATATATAAGAAAAATAAGCAACAATAATTTCTCAGCTGAGGTACCCTGTTCACAAGGCTTTGTAAGAAAAACAACACACCAAAATCAAACTCCAGCACAATTATGTCATATGGTTATGCTGTTCTCAACGTATGAGGGGTTGAGGTAGTTGTAGGGCACTTCTAGCTTTGAGTTTCTTTCACTAATTTTCTCGCCAAGAAAGTGCAGCTCGTTCAGCAGATCTTTCTGGATCTGCCTTGGAAACACCTCGTCAAAGTGATCATCAGGATTCAAGCCCAGAGGAACCTGTAGTGACACAACGGGTTAACCGAGAAGTTCATTCCGAGGCATAGTAAATAAAAGAAAAGTTATCCGGATATGTTGTCCATGTAATCTCAGTATATATAGTAGTGAGTAGAGTGATAGTAGTTTGACTGTTGCACATGGATATACTGACCACATCATCGTAATTGAATGACATCGTCCAAGCCGTCTGAGTGAAAATTGCTGTATGGCCAACATTCGGAAGTGCCTCGACAATGCTTTCCATACTTATTTTGTCTTTTTTGTTTGGAGGAGGCTTGACAAGGAGTGGGGGGCTGTTAGGAATCCAGCCCTGGTAGTGGAACTGAGAAGTAAAACAATAATATTAAATGGATAGACTTTTGCCTGAGCAGTCACGCCTACATTTGGACATACATTATGTGTTCAAATGAGGTTGTATTTATAAATAACGTATAATGTTAGTTGTGGTTCTGGCTTGAAAGGCAATGCAAACACTAGTACAGTACTTGGTGGACTAAGCCACTACTTTTTTCAAGTTCTTTGGGACCTTTAAATAGCAATTCTGCCATTGCATGCATTTAGATTTTGTTAGAGCCCCTCTGGTGTGCAGGACAGCAATTGGACACATATGTCCATAAAGTTTTAGAATGAATGTCATTGTCAAAGATTTACCAGAGTGCTTTGATCATCATTAAGATACCATAATATACCATGAGATTACATAATCTCATATTGGTTTGACTGACCTGGCCGTTATTGACAGCAGCATGTTGAGCAGATACAGTGAAGATGATCATAGTTAGAAACTTGATAAGTTCATTGGTAGTTTCCAAGGTTGAAGGGAAACCTGATGGACACAAGGCAATCCGTGTGAAGTATTATTAGATCAACGATGTATGAGGTGGTTTTGAAGTGAAACCTGAGAAAGGGTTGCCGAAGACTCCATGGATGAATATTTCTTTGACCCAGTCCTGCAGCTCCTTGTCTTCGGCCACATTCTGGTCTGACAGGTAGAATTGCTTTATCATTTCTCTCACAAAACTGCAAAGAACACAAAGAATAAGCTGAGATCAGTTCCCAGTTAAATATTTTTCCATAATGATTTTTCTTTACCTATTCAAAACTGTCCACAACTTCAGACCATCATCTCTGTAGTAGAAGTTAGGGACAGTGTCCAATCCTCGTGCTATGATGTTATCAGGTAGACAGAGGGCGCTGTATTTCAGATCAGACAACCCCCTCCTCATCAACTCCAGGACACCCTCAGAGCCAAGTGAGCTCTGAAAATTACACAGAATTGTTTATTTTATCAAGCTAAAGATGGAGATTTTTTTGTATTTTTTTGTTTTAAAGTACAGAGTTTATTCACTTAGCTTCCTACTGTTCTTAAACTTGTGAGGGTTAAGGTTAGGCAACACTGAAATTTCTGGGATGAAGAAAGGATCTTTCTGTTGTAGCTCAATGACACAATATTTAGAGAGGTATTTGTTTTGAAAAATGTATATTCCACGTCAATAGTTGAGGAAAAAAAGACATTTGTCACACGTTTATGCAATCGTCCGGTTTCTGCTGCACACATATAACATAAAATCTAAGTCTTACGAGGCTTAAAGCTCCCGCTGGTCCCAACAGTTGATTGCGGACATGGTTGTTAATGTGGATGGTGGCTCGAAAGTGAGAAATCAGCATCTGCACAATGGCAACCAATTGAATCAGATTGAACTGAGTAAAAGAATGAAATGTTTTTTGATATACCTTGTAAATTGGGTGGGCTGAGGGCAGATTCCTGAGCGTTGCCATAGCAAAGACTTCTCCTAACATGTGAGTTTTCAGTAAGTGTTCAATCCCCTGGTGCTCGAGGTAATCCGCATTCTTGATGAACATTTTAGCCAGTAGCCAGTCGCTGTCCGAGTCTGAGGCCAGGAAGATGGGGTTGTCCTGTGCCGGTCTTTGAGCAAGCTATGACAGTGTAGTGGTTACTTTGGCTTCATATTGCATTTAACGCTTGATATACTTACTTAAATGTACAAACCTGTATTGCAATTGGCAGCAATTCCTTGTTGGAGTTCAAATAGAATAAACAGAAGCCTGATGCCACATAAACGCTTTCTTCATCAACAACACGAGTGGTTATCCCGTCCAGTTTCTTATAGTCACAGATGAATATGTTTCCAATCTGCAGCAATAAGGAAAATTCTCAACTTCTGTATACTGTAAAAGGCAGAGCTGGGCAAAGTGCGGCCCGGGGGTCACATACGGCCCGATTCATGTTTCCATGTGGCCCTCGGACCTTTTCTCATCCACACATTTCTAACCGTCACCCCCTAGTTAAATGAAGGGAAGTCAATACCCAATGATTCAAAAAAAAATATTTTTGTCTTGAGTTAAAAGGTTTTTTGTGGAAAGACAAGTTAGATGTATTACCTTGTTATCATGTTTCAGATTAACAAGGTAATACATCTAACTTGTCTTTCAAAAGAACCACAAAAAGCATCAATACCCAATGAAGGTTTGCAACTTCATGAGTGCTAAGATGGCATGTTATACCTCATAATAATTCATCAAAAACATGCATCTGCCCACATTCAATACACCAGCCTTCTTTCAGCTACTGCACTAACACAAATATACCAATGGATATCTTCAGGTTTCCCTCTCCTTTTTATCTGTGAATTCTTTTTTTTATTACATACGCACATTTTGTTACATGTAAGTAAGTAGTAAGTAAGTAAGTAAGTAATCTTTATTTATATACCACCTTTTCACTGCAGATCTGAGTCTCAAAGCGGTTTACAATTGTAAATTTTTTTTTGGGCATTTGTCTCTCACTCCACACAGAGATGGGAGCAGGGTCACCAGTATAGGAGGCACATGCCAGAACTATTGGACATATTTTTAGTGGTAGGGGAAACCGGAGTACCCGGAGGAAACCTACGCAGACACGGGGAGAACATGCAAACTCCACTCAGAAAGGCCCTGGTCCGACCGGGATTCGAACCTAGGACCTTCTTGCTGAGAGGCGAGAGTGCTATCCACTCAGCCACCGTGCCGAGTAAGTAAGTGAGTAAAGTTTTTGTGTATAGCGCCTTTCACAGACCAGGATGACAAAGAGCTTCACAATGAAAAGTAACTGAAGTAGCTTACACTCAAATATGTTCTTCCAAATTATATTTAAAAAAATTAAACCACATGAAAACAAGTCCAGCCCTCTACAATGTTCTGATATCCCAATGTCTACCCCCAGATAAAATAATTGCTATCCGAATAATTGCCCCCGCTCAAAGGAATGGAAAAGGCAACTGTGTATATTCCATCCGAGAATCATACGAATGAAATACTATAATACATGTGTCAACCTGAAGTGGCCACACCATACCTCCATTTCTTTTTGCAGTGAAGAACCTCTGGCCAAGAATGACTTTACCATCCAATTTGTGATGGGGAAGTTTGAATGGAAGTTGGGAGCAGCGTTTGAGCATAGCATAGCATTTTTCCTAATCTCAGGATAAAAATTGTAAAAAATCTATTAATCGTGAAATAATTTAGCGAGTAGTTAGATATAATTGCATATTGTGTATTTTCAAGTAGACACAATTGTTGTATTCAAACACAGTGGTGAAAGCAGTGTATTTGCAGCTCACAGGGTTGGTTGTTCTATTTTGTGTACTTTTATTTTCTTACACAGACAAATGTATTCTAATATGTTTTTTTGTTTGTGATTCCTTTTTTGTGAGCAGTTCTCACGGGTTCAAAGGGTTCCTAATTTGTTCTCATGCTATTTCCGGAGGGTTGCTACAGTTGAGCTGAAGTATATTTTATATATCTGTTATACGGTTTCTGTCTCTGCAGGAGACAGAGCCTCATATAATTATTTTAGGTATTTATTTATACAATCCCAAGGACTCGGTTATAATGAAAACTTTAGGTCAACATGTATTGTAAATTATTTGAATGTGTTGTTTATTTCCTAGCGTGCTGATTGGACTGATGAATCCTACCCTCTCATCTGCACCCAGCCTGGACTCGTGGGCTGCACGAGGCTCAGTCCTCATTCTACAGTCTGAGTCCTGGTTCTATATAGCCCTGCGTTCATGGGAGCCTCTTTCAATGTGGGCCTGACAGAGGTTTCTTACTTTTCCAGTGATAATCCAGGACATTTCTGTACAGTGGTCGCGCCACTCCCAATGTGGCTAGAATGTTTGTTATTATTACATTCCCTTTGTTTGAACTGTCAGATTCTCCGGTCTGTTGTTGGTGAAGCAACTATTTTGTAAAGTCCTTCAGAACGACTACTGTTGTGAATTGCTGCTATACAAAACTAAATTGAATTTTTGCACTGCACATTAAACTTGCTTCACACCAAAGCCAGCAGCCTCTGTGGTCATTTAGCGGAAGTACTTGCATCAGTGGTATTATGTAGTATCTTTGGGAAGTATAAAGACAAACTTTGTTCAAATAAGTGTAGTTACCTAAAAAACTAAATTCACTAAAATGAGTTAGAAACTGTTAGTAAAGTGCACAGTAATTAACAAGCAATAAAAGCTGATATTGTGTAACTGTAATCACATTATCACAAATGTTTCTTTAAACTAAAATAAACACAGTGGCTGCTTCTGAATAGTTTACACACAAGTCATGGGTTAAAAATGAGTCATGTCACCTCTGCTCTGAGCAAGTACCTACTCCACCTGTCTGTCTGGACTGACTGTATTGTATTTTTTCTTTTATATTTGTATTCTTTCAAAATATGGACCAATTGAATTTGAGTCTGAAATAAAGACTCGTAAATGGACCCCAAAGCAGACACTGCAAGCAGGTTAGGAAAAAGGCAAAACATTTATTAGGATAAGATAGACATAGAATCCCTCAGGGTGCCTTAGGCCCTGTTTATACTGAGACGCTGCGCAGACGTTTCCAGGCTATTAACAGAAACGACCAGGCTCCTAATGCAAATTTCTCAGCGTTCACATGAGGTTGAAAATCGATGTAGTTCTAGCGCCCAGCCAGTAGTGGGCAGAGAAACTTTACAACACGACACACGACCCCCAGCCCCCCCTCCCGGCAGTATATTCACTTCCTGTGCCAGACCCTCAGAAAGTACCAACATCATTCTGCATTTTAACAGCAGCTGTGAACATGGGAACTGAACCTAGAGCTTCGCGTGGTCTCGTTTGAACGAACGAAGAAGTAGAATTATCCTCTGTCCCGCGCTGGAAGCCCACGTAGCTAGTTAATGCCGCAGCGCCATTGTTGTTTTTGTTTGTTCTCCGCTACTGCGCATGTCCAAATTTACGTGCGGGGAGCAGCGCGGAGGCGGGGGTCAGAGCAGAGGGGGATTTCACACCTTTTCTCCCTCTCGTGGGTGTGAAAGAGCTCCCCGCTGTGCAGCGTTTCTGAGTTGTCCCACTCTGCAGGCTGGATCTGAACACTTACGTTTTGACCCCCCTGGAACACAGTCTTCGTATGAACGGTTGGTAGCAACCGACATCCAACTATACCGTTTTACTGCCACATTGTCTCCGTGTAAACTCAGCCTCAGTCTTGCACTGAAAGAGCCCCTCAGCTCTTACTCTCCTGTGAAGTGGGTGGAGGTGTTGACCATGATGGAGGTGACTTTGGCTAACACACTCTTGTCCCTCACCTCCTCCACAGAGTCCAGTGGGCAGCCCAGAGCAGACCCTCCTGACCAGCTTGTTCAGTCTGTTTCTGTCCCGCTCTGTGTTGCCCGGGGCACAGCACACGGCAGCGTAGTGGATAGCAGAGTCACAGAGTCACGAAAAGTCCTGTGCAGAGGCCTGCTCAGTATACAGCCTCCTCAGAAGGGGGCAGCAACTTTGGCCCTTTTTGTACAGGGTGTTGGTGTTATGAGACCAGTCCAGTTTATCGTTAATGTGAACACCCAGGTACTTGAAGCTGTCCACCAGCTCAATGTCCTTCCCCTGAATGTTTTGCGGCCTGTGGGAGAGTGTTGTTCACGTTACTGGTGTTCAAGGACAAATGGGTGCGCTCACACCTGTCGATAAAGTCCATGATAACCGACCTGTACTCTCAGACACACAGCCCACCATGGCGCCGGAGAACTTCTGTAGGTTGGCATCTGGCCCATGCAGTGAGGTGACACTACACATTGGGCTTGTAGGCGCACTGCAGCGGGTCCAGCTGACCACAGAGCGGAGATGGGCGAGGATGCGCTTGCCTTGGCTCGTGGGTCTCTGAAGCAGGCAGGTCATCTGGGGAAAAAAAGAAAATTTGAATGAATAACAAGGCGAAAGTTTGAAGTGTCACTAGATTCATGCAAAAGATAGGTCTGTACCGTGAGAAGACGGAACAATCAGCCTGGGATACCTGGAGAGCTTGATCGTAGGAGTCAGGTGTAACTGCTCAGAGATCCCACCAGAAAAACACCAAGCCTGCAAGACACAAGCGACAGGGGACTAGAGACCAGGGAATAGACAGACACATGGGGAACAGAAGATTTATTTTACTATACTATACTATAATACTATACAAATTAATTGATTCAGTTCAAGTTGAAATAAGAAGTGGTGGGACAACTGTCAGTGACAGACCAATATGTTTTTGCCCCTTTATATACAAATATATACATCCATAGACCACCCTTACCTGCATTGCTGGTCCAGTAACCTCTTATCTTGGTCAGGTCCTGTGTGCTGTCCCCGTTGTCCTGGATGTCCAGTGAGCTCTGACACGTGTGATCCAGCATCTGTTGCTCCGCTCCGCACTGCTCTGCACTCAATGAAGACAAGTGCTTCTGCAGGCACCTCTATGCATCTGCACAAAGACAATTTAGTGTTGAGAGAAAAGATTGTTAAAGAACATGTGATGTCTGTCCTCCTAAGTTCACCTTTGTCTGTGCTGAAAGAAAGAAGGCACACACTTTTTGCGGCACCGTCAGCTACGGCCACATTTTCTGCCACTGGAATTTTCAGTGCCAGCTAGAAGTTTTGTTGCATTTCCAGGGGCAGAGAGAAGCTTGGTGGCACTTTAGCATGAATGTCCCCAAGGGCAAGTAGTGGTGCCCTGATTGTTGTCCTTGGAGCAGCTCAATAACCAAGCACAGAAGCAGTAGGTCAAGATGCTCTCTGCTGAGTTTACAAAGGAAGTAGTCTCTGCTCCAAAGTTTGAAGTTTCGCTAGATCCAAGCTAAAGATAAGTCTGTACCACTGTAGAGACGGAACAATCGGCCTGTGAGACCTGGAGAGCTTCATTATAGGAGTCAGGTGCAACTGCCACCAGCAAAACACCAATCCTGTAAGACACAAGGGGGAGACTAAGAGACTAGGGAATAGACAGACACATGGGGAACAGAAGATTTATTTTCTGCACCATTAAACAAATTCATTGATTCAGTTAAAATAAGAACAACTCTGGTGGGGCAACTGTCAGTAACTCACAAATTTGTTTATGCCTCACTTTAAACTCATACTGTATCTCTACATAGACCACCCTTAACTGCAGTGCTGCTCCAGTCACCTCTTCTCATCTTAACAGAGGTCCTGTGTGCTGTCCCCACTTGTCCTGGATGTCCAGTGAGCTCTGAAACGTGTGATCCAGCATCTGTTGCTCCGCTCCGCACTGCTCTGCACTCATTGTACTGCTCTCTGCATCTGCACACATACAATTTAGTGTTAGGAGAACAGATTTTTAAAAGAACATGCAACATCTGTCCTTCATAGCTCACCTGGGTCGGCTCTGGACACTGATGACTGTCCTTCATAGCTCACCTGTGTCTGCTCTGGACTCTGATGTCTGTCCTTCATAGCTCACCTGTGTCTGCTCTGGACTCTGATGACTGTCCTTCATAGCTCACCTGTGTCTGCTCTGGACTCTGATGTCTGTCCTTCATAGCTCACCTGTGTCTGCTCTGGACTCTGATGACTGTCCTTCATAGCTCACCTGTGTTGGCTCTGTTCCTTCTGTGGCAGCTGGATAAAAGGCTCTGCTGGCATTTTCAGTGGAAGCTAGAGGTTTAGTGGCATTTTCATTGGCAGCTATACATTTTGGAGATAGAAGCTGTCCCCTAGGACAGGTAGTGGTGCCCTGATTGTTGTGTTCTGTGCAGCTGGAAAACCAAGGAGGTCAAAATGCTCTCTGCTGAATTTACAAAGGAAGACGTCTCTGATAAATGCCAATTAAATATTAGCTGCAACTAAAATTGCCACTAAACTTTGATCAGCCGCGGAAAAAGAAATCTCTTTTTGTTGCACCGGTAGCCACAAAATGAGACGAAAAGCAGGTCCTCTGCAACTGGATCTGATTAGGAAGTGTGGAAGAAGGATCAGGGGGATTACAAGGGCAGGGATGGGGTTACGACAGGGGTGTCCAAACCGGTCCAGAAAGGGCCGCTGTGGCTGCAGGTTTTCAATCAGACCCAGCAGGAGCAGAGTAGACTCCACCCATTTCCTCAAAACTTCAGGTTAAGACTGAACTCTCTTGAGGAAATGGGTGGAGTCTAATCTGCTCCTGCTGGGACCTGCAGTCACAGTGGCCCTTTCTGGACTGGTTTGGACACCCCTGGGTTAGAAGGAAAGAGACAGGGAGGGAGATGAGAGGGGAGAAGAGGAGGAGGGAGGAGAAGGGGAGGGAAGAGTGAGGCAGGGAGGAGAGGTCGAGGACAGGGGTAGGGTGGAGAGGGGGAAGGGAGGGTCATAAGGAAGGAGGGGGGCAGGGAGGTTTAGGAGGAAGGAGAGAGGGAGGAAAAGGGAGCAGGAGACGAGCGGCGCCGCCTCTCCGAGCTGATCTCAGCAGAGCCCCCTGACCTGCTACGTTTGTGGGAAGAAGAGGGAGTGGGAGAAGCAGCGTTAGGATCTGAAGAGGAATCTGGGTCACGGAAATCTGACACAGGAGGAGAAGGAAGATCTGAACCTAAACTAAACTCCTCTGGACCTGGAGAGGAAGCATGTTAGGGGGAGGCAAGGAGGGGAGAAGAAGGAGCACTGCCAGGAGGACAGGGGACAGCTGCACCAAGGAAGAGAGGGACTTGAATAGGAGCAACAGTGGGGGAGGCAGGAGCTGGATCCAAAGTCTGCACAAAAAAGTCCAGGAACTCCTCAAGGCTCTGGAAATCAGAGGCACAAAAAGAAGATGAGGAAGGCGCAGAGGGGAGAAGAGGGAGAGGCAGGACGTGAAGGGGAGGAAAGGCAAGGAGAAGGAGGGTCAGAAACAGGAGGGGAAGGGGCGGCTGCACCATAAGTAGGACTAACCTGTAGAGGAGAAGTAGTGGGGGAGGCAGGAGCTGAATCTAGAGTCTGCACAAAAAAGTCCAGGAACTCCTCAAGGCTCTGGAAATCTGAGGCGGAAAAATCAGAAGAGCAGGAAGCGGCGGGAGAGGAAGGAGGAGGAGAGGGAGGCTGAACATCAGGATCCACAATGTCCACCTGTGGAGGGAGAACCACCTGCTGGGGATAGTAACCCTGGGGAGGGTAGTCCACCTGCTGGGGATAGTAACCCTGGGGAGGGTAGTCCACCTGCTGGGGATAGTAACCCTGGGGAGGGTAGTCCACCTGCTGGGGAAAAAGCCCCTGCGGAGGGAGAACCACCTGCTGGGGATAGAAACCACGGCCACCTAGAAAAGAACAAAAATCAAGTCAAATATTTGTTGTTTTTAGCATAATTTAAGACGTATTGTCACAATACAAATGGTTGATCGATTGGCCTCAATTTTTTCCTGATAAATTATAATATTTTGGTACATTTTTAAATTGTCATTTTGAGGCTTTTTCCACTACCAAAAGGCATAAAAACGGCAAATTGACCATTTCAAACACCAGTAAACTTTTGCTTCTTCAAACATTTAACACTGATCTAGAACTGGAAGACATTAACAAATTCAGTCTCAGTTAACCAAAAATGAATAAAACCTAAAATTATTAAATAGCTCACTCCACACTAAACTGTACCATTGGTCAATCTAACTTCAAGCAACAATAAAATAAAATGTATGAACTAAAAATGTTTGTACCTAAACATTTTGTAATACTATGTAGCCTATAGATATACGTAGAATAATGTCAGAAGGGCAGCTAAAACTATCCATCCATCCATTTTCTACCCCTTAATCCATTTCGGAACTCTCATAGCACCAGCCCCTCACTGATCCTCCTGCAGGTGGTGAGTCCACAGGAGGACGGCTGCTCTGTAAGTGTGAGCAAGAAAAATGGCTGCCTTTCAAAAAAAAATTAACTTTGGGGACATATTTGTTACATTTAGGACATGTCATGTTGGAGGCTTTGTGAATGGAAGAATTAACAGGACAGAGAAGACTATTTAATGGTTAATGTTTGGAGAAAAAAATTCAATAACTGCGGACAAACTAGGCGTTTTGGACGTAACTATTGTGTCAACTTTTGTTACGCCCAAAATGGCTGTCTTGAAGTGCTGTTAATAATAGGGACGTGAACAAATCTGTGTTTAAGTAAAGCGCCCTCCACTGGACAAACAAGCTGGAAACAAAACAAGAGTGGGTCTGTGAACATTCACGCGGTAACAGACCTCTATAAAGTGGCCCTGTATTTCGTCGGCAGCGGTAAAGAGGTTCGCACTTTAAACGTGGAACGTGGAACGGGGAGCAAGATGCAATTTTATTAATAAAATAATTAAAAAATAACAAAAAGAGTTTTGCGACTACTTTCACTGCACACTTGTTCACTGTGATGCCCTCTACCACTGTGTAAAATATCATTCACTTTTACTGTAGAAATTCAGAGAAAATTGGGGTCAAAGTGTGCCATTTTGATCCCAAAAGCACTTTTTTAAATTCATTTTTAAAAAATCTAAAAAAGTTTGCTGACTACTTTCACTGCACACTTGTTCACTGTGATGCCCTCTACCACTGTGTAAAATATCATTCACTTTTACTGTAGAAATTCAGAGATAATTGGGGTCAAAGTGTGCTATTTTGGTCACAAAAACACTTTTTAAAATTAATCTTTAAGAAATCTGAAAAAGTTCCCTGACTACTTTCACTGCACACTTGTTCACAAAGATGCCCTCTACCAGTGTGTAAAATGTCATTCACTTTTACTGTAGAAATGCAGAGATAATTGGGGTAAAAGTGTGCACAATTGGTCCCAAAAGCACTTTTTAAATTCATTTTTAAAAAATCTAAAAAAGTTTGCTGACTACTTTCACTGCACACTTGTTCACTGTGATGCCCTCTACCAATATGTAAAATATAATTCACTTTTACTGTAGAAATTCAGAGATAATGGGATCAAAGTGTGCCATTTTGGTCCCAAAAGCACTTTGTAAAAATCATTTTTTTAAATCTAAAGAACTTCCCTGACAACTTTCACTGAAAACTTGTTCACTGTGATGCCCTTTACCACTGTGTAAAATATCATTAATTTTTACTGTAGAAATTCAGAGAAAATTGGGGTCAAAATGTGCTATTTTGGTCACAAAAGCACTTTTTAAAATTCATTTTAAAGAAATCTAAAAAAGTTCCCTGTCTACTTTCACTGCACACGTGTTCACTAAGATGCCCTCTACCACTGTGTAAACTATCATTCACTTTTACTGTAGAAATTCAGAGAAAATTGGGGTCAAAGTGTGCAGAATTGGTCCCAAAAGCACTTTTTAAAATTCATTTTAAAATTCATTTTAAAAAGTGCTTTTGGGATCAAAATGGCATACTTTGAGTATTTTGAAGTATTCCAAGTTCTGAGTTTTTTTGAAGTACCGAGTGAAGTACCGAGTTTAAAGTAGTACTAGAATTTAATATGCTGCTATCCAGAATATATAACTACAATATGTGTTTATAATATTTCGGGTGTTCATTTTGACATGTTCAGATGAATTATGTTAAAAAAACTGCTTTGAAGTGGCACCTTTTCATTTCCGCATAGAAACGCTAGGGGGGGCCAAAATGGCGGCGATGACGTAGGAGGAGGGCATCTCACAGCAGCAGCAGCAGCCTGGGCTGAATCTGTAGGTTTCACTGTCATCTGAACAAGGTATAAACATATTTTCATCCGTTTTGTACATAATAGTGCGCAACTCTTTTAACCTTTTAGCCTTATTTGTAAGATTCAGGCTAATTAGTGTTGGGCAAGTTAGCTAACTCTACTTGATATCATAAAACATGCTAACAAGGCTAATATTCGTTTTTACATTATGCCAGTTTCACTTTGGTTGCTAAGAGCTAAGATGCTAACTACTGTGTGCTAAAGGTTATTAGTGTGCTATTCTTGTTTACATTATGCGTTAGTTACGTTGCTCATTCTAATCTAGATTTTCTCTGTTATTTGCAGGACCACACACACACACACACACACAACCATAAATACAATGCCACAAAGTGTGTAATGAAGAACTTTTAATAAACCAAAACTGGATCATCTCAAAGCAGTGCATTCTTACCGATGCTCCCTGGTGGTCACAATCCCACATTACAAACCAGATAAACTTGCTCTCAACAATCACTGACCAGAGTTCATAGGCTAAGGTTTATCCTATGAGTTCTAACAGGATCAGGCTTTCACAGGCAGGTGGCGCCACAATAGACATGAAAATGTACTTGAATATGCAAGTATTATAGTAGTAGTATTTTAACAATCTACATCTATTTTGGTTTGGTGCTAACTGAACGCCGATATAACCAATAATCAATATATTGTTGACTCACAACCAAGAGATTGGCAAAATGTCTGACCATTTAATGAAATCCAGATTGAAAACTGATATGAATTCTGTTAGCTGTGGTTACTGATTTCATATACTGGCAATTAAAGACATGTGATTATTTGACAATCTCATACTGTTCTAATTACAATACAATTTATTCTTGTATAGCCCTAAATAACAACAGAAGTAATCTCAGAGGACTTAACAAAACCATTGAAATCACCAACACAGATCAGAGAATCAACAGTTAAAACACAAAGAATAAAGAACACATGTTAAAAAAAAGTCCATACATGTTGTAGAATGTTAAAGTGTCCTGGATCATCACCACAGTCCTTCTAGTTGGACACTAAGTGCCCAACAGACCCTCCTGCATCAGCAAGGAAAAACTCATAAGAAAACCAAGTGGGAAAAAGTGAGAAACCTCGGTATTACGTGCCAGAATGTCCAGGGTAGCACGTAACGTATATAGTGAATAACCGGGTGTGGGATGACGAAGGATGAAGGTGAGAGGTCGTAGATTAGGAGTAAAAAATAATAGGTTTATTACACAACTGTTTATAATAATAAACAATTAAACTACTAGCAGAAATGTGCAGAAACAAAGGTGCAGCGCAGGACGCAGACGTCAGCCCTCATCTGGGCCAGGGGCCTTTTAGGCCTGGGCTGATTGGCATCCAGCAGGTGCCGATCATCAGCCAATGGGTGGTGCGGAGGAGGCACAGAGCTGAAGGGGGTGGAGGCAAGGAAAAGTACATACCACAAGGCCCATAACACCTCCCCCCATAAAACAAAACCCCCAGAAGGCTAAAACTAGAGAGGTCAATTAACCAAAATTAAACAAGTACACAGTACAAAACCCACTGGCTATGGACGAGCCACAGAGCAATAACTATCATAGTGTGTACAGTGCATTAAAAGGATAGGGGTCCCCACCACCACACATTGAGTGGTGATGACGAACTGTAGACTACAATATCACAAAGTATTCACATGTCGGTCTGCCAGGGAAAAGGATATTGCTGCCCATCACCACTTGCGACTCAAGCGGTGATGGATGTCCTCAGTCTCGCGATAGGGCATCAGCCACAATATTTTCCTTCCCCTTCTTATGTTGGATGGTGATGTTGTACTCCTGGGCGAGCAGGGCCCACCGCATCAGCCGCTGGTTCTGGTTATACATCTGCGCCAGGAATACAAGGGGATTGTGGTCTGTGAACACCGAGACTGGGACATTAGTAGACCCGACATAAACATTAAAGTGCTGGAGGGCTAGGAGCATCGCCAGAGTCTCTTTCTCAATGGTGGAGTAGTTGAGCTGGTGCTTCTTGAACTTCGCCGAAAAGTAGAATACAGGATGAGGGACCCCAGCGTAATCATCCTGTGTGAGCACAGCACCAGCTCCAGTTGCACTAGCGTCCACCTCCAGGCTAAACGGCTTGGTATAGTCCGGTGCAGAGAGGACAGGAGCACTGCAGAGAAGAGACTTAGCAGCCAGGAACGCACTTTCACACTCTGCAGTCCACAGGAAAGGGACAGCAGGACTGCACAGGGCAGTGAGAGGAGTTACTAGAACAGAGAAGTTCTTGCAAAAACACCGATAGTAACCCGCTAACCCTAAAAAACGGCGCATTCTGAAGTTCCGTGCAAAAACGAAGAGTGCCATCTGATTTGGGAGCAAGGAGGCATGGAGAACTCCAGGGGCTATGGCTAGGTTTAGCAAGGCCATTGGTCACCAGGTAGCTAACTTCCTTCTTCATGGCCTCCCGCTTGGTCATAGGGCAGCGATAGGCATGCTGCTTGATGGGGAATGCAGAGCCTACATCTATGTCATGCTCCAACAGAGAGGTACGAGACGGTGTGTCACCAAACAACGACGGGTAGGCCCGTAAAAGAGCCAGCAAGTCCTTGTACTGATCCTTACTGAGATAAGCCAGATTGGCGCCTAAACTGGACATATACTCAGAGTTTGATAACCTTCCACTCTGTTGTGCAACACACGGCTCTCCTAAATCCTCAAGACTCTCCGAACACACGGCTGACACAGAGGGCACAGCTAGCATGGACTGTGCTGGCCTGTGCTCCCCCCTTACGAGGAGAGGCTTCAGCATGTTGACATGACAAAGTCTAGTCTTCCTTCTCCGCTCCGGGGTAGCGATAAGGTAGTTTGTGTCGGACACTTTCCTCTCAACAACATAGGGACCAGAGAAACGGGCCGAAAGGGCAGAACCAAGGGTTGGGAGTAACACCAGGACTTTATCCCCAGGACTGAAGTGCCGAATCACTGCCTTTCTGTCGAATCGCCTTTTCATTCCAGCCTGGGAAGAGACGAGCGCTTCCCTAGCCAACGCGGTAGCCCGCTGTAACCGCTGCTTACAGTCTGACACAAAATCCGATGCACTCCTAACCGACTTCGGCATGGTTAATAACTGTTCCTTAAGCAGTTTAAGTGGCCCACGCATGCCGTGACCAAAAACAAGTTCGGCGGGGCTGAACCCGAGGGATTCTTGGGTAGCATCCTTAACAGCAAATAACATGAAAGGAACACCCTCATCCCAGTCCTTCCCTGTCTCAAAACAGAACTTGCTCAGCACAGATTTCAGCGTCTGGTGCCACCGTTCCAACGCACCCTGAGACTCTGGGTGATAAGCGCTGGCCACAGAATGAGCAACCCCGAACAACTGCAGGGTCTCCTTGAAGACTTTAGACAGGAAGTTAGTTCCCTGGTCAGTCTGTACAACCCTAGGCAGACCAAAGGTACTAAAAAACTTTGTAACGGCTTTAACAATAGAAGGGGCCGTGATTCTGCGCAGAGGGATCGCCTCAGGGAAACGAGTGGCAACACACATAATGGTTAACAAGAACTGATTACCCATCTTGGTTTTTGGTAAAGGGCCAACACAGTCCATAATCACATGCTCAAAGGGTTCCCCAAGGGCAGGCACAGGGCGCAGGGGAGCCGGCGGTACCACCTGATTTGGTTTCCCAACGGACTGGCAGGTAATGCAGGTCTTACAGAAAGCAACCACATCAGCCTTCAGACCTGGCCAAAAGAAATGTTGGAGAACGCGGTCATAAGTCTTGGTAACACCAAGATGGCCGGACCACAGGTTTTCATGCGCCAGAGTCAATACATGATGCCTGTAATTTTTGGGAACGACTATTTGGAAAATAGTACACCAGTCATTAGTGTCAGCGTTACCGTCCCGAGGGACCCACTTGCGCATCAATACACCCTCATCAAGAAAAAACCGAGTTTGGTCAGCTGGGCTGTCTAAAACAGAAAAACATTTGGTCAAAGTCTTATCACACTTTTGAGCTCCAATCAAAGCGTCACTGGTGAGTGGAGGGGACATAGCGGTGGTTGACTTCACACTGCTGGCCTTCGTCCTGGCGTGGTCATCAGGTCGTCCACACGGGGGCGCACGAACACCGGAGAAGACAGGAGCAAGCACAGAATCATACAGATCAACATCACCCTGTTCCTCTGCCAACTTTTTAGACTGGGCGCGGGTCAACACACACACTGAAAACATCTCAGGGTGTTCCTCAGCCAATTCATCCTTCCCAGTGCTGAGAATGGGGCGAGAAACCACTTTCGGAGAGGGATACACTTCCCCACCTGCGATATCATTCCCCATAATAAACTCCACCCCGTCAATAGGAAACTGGTCGCGCACAGCGACAGGGAAAACTCCACTAACCAAGTTTGACTCAATGTAGACATTATGCAGTGGTGCGGGCACATAACTAAGGCCGATCCCCTTCACTATTGTGCTTAGATGACAGTCTGTCTGCGGGCCCAGAGGCAGGACACCCGAGAGAATAAACGACTGGGGAGCCACCCGTGTCACGCAAAACTTTAACAGAATGCTTAACCTCTCCTGGGACGGAAACAAACGCCTCAAAAATGAAGGGCTTAAAACAGTCATCACACTCTGAAATGGGAGAACAAACAGGCCTCGCATTAGTATGAATAGCAGCTGGGATCGTCTTGATAAGCGCTACACTTTTCGGTTTAGATGTGGGCTGCTGTTTGCGCTTTAAAGCGTCACAATCCGCGACGATATGACCACTTTTATGACAAAAGAAACACTGCTTTGTCCGCTCAGGCCTTGAAGTAGTCGCAGGACTAACGGGGATCCTCTCCTCAGACTTGGGAAAAGGTTCACGCTTAAAAACAGCCTTGTGGGTGAGAGAGAACTCATCCGCTAAAACAGCCGCCTGCTGGAGCGTGGCCACTTTTTGTTCATTTAAATACACAATAAGGCGCTCAGAAAGACAGTTCTTAAATTCTTCAATAAGAAATAGTTCCCGCAGCGCCTCAAAAGTATCCGCTTTACTTGCAGAGCACCACCTGTCAAACAGCAGCCCCTTCTCACGGGCAAAATCCACAAAACTCTGATTACATGATTTTCGAAGCCCTCTAAAACGCTGCCTATAGACCTCGGGCACCAGCTCATACGCACGCAAAATAGCACTTTTCAGACAGTCATAGTTCAAACTGTCCGATACTGACAAAGACGCGCATGCTTCGGAGGCCTTGCCACTCAATTTACACTGTAATAAAATTGCCCATACATCTCTAGGCCAGTGTAAGGCGCTCGCAATACGCTCAAAAGCACCGAAATATGACTCAACTTCGGACTCGCGGAAAACCGGGACAAGTTGAATGTTCTTTGTCACGTTAAATGAATCACACGCACTGGCCGTAACAGGCGAAAATGGAGCTGAACCGCGACCCGATGCCTGCAGCTCCAATTGCCTCATACGAAACGCAGTGTCAGCTTCTAACCTTCTAAACTCAACCTCGCGAGCAGTGGCTGCCTCCAGCTCAATGCGCTTTAACTCGAGCTCACGCTTGAGCTGGAAGTCACGCTCTCTCTCCTCTTTCTCGTTTTTGAGCCGCGCAAGGCGCACATCCAAGCGCACATCACGAGGAGAATGCACACTCCAAGTAGGAGACAAGACACGAACCTTTTCCTCAGCCTCCCCAAACAAAACCTTTGGAGAGCCCACCGGTGGCTGGGGGGAATCCGCGCTCTCCCCAAGACGCACGGGGGACGCCACTGCGCCTCCCGCGGTCACTCCTTGTTCCAGATCGCTCGACTCGGGCAAAACCAAAACTTCACTGGCAACCAAACCTGCCAACACAGCCTCCCTTAACTCTCCCACGCGCAATGTAACAGACACGGGGATTTCATAGTGCCGGGCAATCTCCAATAAGTCAACTTTTCTACACGAGTCCAACACATCACTAGTTGGCTCAGCCACGAAAGCACCCAAGTCAAACGTAGCCATATCACTCACCAAAATCACCAATCCAGGCCACAGCCGATCCCACTCACGGCCAGGCTACACCTGCTGACACTTTGCCAATCCACACTCCACCAGGAATGTGCCGTGCGCGCGCTTCTGACACAGCCGCGCGCAACCCACACACACTAACCACACACACGCCAGGGACAAAAAGACGAGCTCACGCAGGGCGCACTGATCACATAGAAACCCAAACCAGTTTAAACAAATGGTACCCAGACTCCTAACCAGGAAACTCTACGCCTAACTGTCTTCTGGGGTTTGCCGAGCTCGAGGCGTGCAGCCCCCGCCAGAGAATTCACTCCGCCCGGGATTCGCCCCGAAAACAACAAACTAAAACAAAAAACCGATGCCCGAAGGAATGACGAGTAAATCGGCCAAGCTGGACACCCCCCTAGTTCTAGCTGGGTCACCAATGTATAGTGGCTGAGCAAGCGCCCATACACAGCTCAACTCACCCAGAGCGCACGCACCCACGAACACTCACAGACTTCTGGTACAACGTCAGGATCCCGGACGAGCCCCCAACTATTACGTGCCAGAATGTCCAGGGTAGCACGTAACGTATATAGTGAATAACCGGGTGTGGGATGACGAAGGATGAAGGTGAGAGGTCGTAGATTAGGAGTAAAAAATAATAGGTTTATTACACAACTGTTTATAATAATAAACAATTAAACTACTAGCAGAAATGTGCAGAAACAAAGGTGCAGCGCAGGACGCAGACGTCAGCCCTCATCTGGGCCAGGGGCCTTTTAGGCCTGGGCTGATTGGCATCCAGCAGGTGCCGATCATCAGCCAATGGGTGGTGCGGAGGAGGCACAGAGCTGAAGGGGGTGGAGGCAAGGAAAAGTACATACCACAAGGCCCATAACACTCGGGGACACACATAGTTTGAGAAAGGGATCCGCTCCCACGGACGGACGGGCTATAGATCCAGGACCTAAGCTACAGAACGTGGACCAGCGGCCGTTAAACATGAACAGGTCCGATACAGGACTGAAGAACTCCGTAATTTATCTGGATATGTATCTGGTTGATATGCAGCCTCGCGGAAATTCAACTCTGGAAGACTGACGGCTAAAGCCACCCCTTCCAGGCCGGCCTCGCATCCTCAGCCTATCGCACAGCAAACGCCCATTTCCAACCAACTTATGCCGGTCAAGCCAGCAGCTTAAAAGTGGAGAAACTCCCACTTTACGGCCTTCTCGAAGCTTTGCAAACCACCGCCTCCCCTCCAACTCCTTTTCTCACACTGCCTCAAGCATGCCTCCTTCCTGCTGCCCGAATGCCACCACCAGTGCCTAGGTCCCGGGGTGATTGTGCGCGCACTCACGCTGGAGCCTCACTGACTAAACGCCGCACCGGGGCCTAGGGCGCCAAACCACCTTTCAATAAAAACATTCAAAATGCATTATGTCTTCTGAAGTCTCTCCAGATTGAATTGCCCTTGTGTCAAAACATTAGAACACAAATAGAACGTGTTAAGACGTCTTTGGGAGCCAATGTGATCAAATTAAAGATTTATTGCAGTATCCACATCCTGAGAGTGGAAGTTTTGTGGTACTATATGTGTGGGTATGTGCGGGACTTTATCTTATATAGCACTTTTCTATTCAGAAAATACATTTGTACAACATATTGTGCATATACAAGAAGAATGTTAACATTAGGAAAATCCAACACTACTTAAACACACATAAAAAGGCATAAACCCAACGTGTTTGAAATCAAAAGGTCAAGAGGTTAATGGGCTAAATAGATTATTTGAATGTGTCAAATATCCAATATAAAACTAACTTTCCTGCAGTGGGTTGAGACTGTATAACACGAGATTGTGGCTTCTTTCATTCCATTGGAAGAAGTGCATGTCAATCATTTTGAGGTATTTTCTGTTACTACAGTTGATTATAGTCAATAATGTGGAGTCGTCACTTCAAATCAACTTTATGGATTTACTTATTTATTATACACAGATTTCGAAAAAGGAATCTGTTTATGGCTCTCATGGCTCTCCCCTTCCACGCCCCGGCCGACCTGCCCCTGCCGCCTGGAGGTAACACCACATCACTTACTGATCACTGAAATGATCATGAAATATGGTTAAAAGACGTGATATTCTCACTTTAGTCCATGTGTGGCTGTTTCGATGGACCACATGTCTGTGTCAGGAGCTAACGCTAGCTAGCATGTGGCAGGGCAACTATGAAAGTGCTTCTTTAAGACATAGACTTTTGGTCACATGTGTAAAAGCTGCTGAAAACAGACAAAGTTGATCAGAAAGGCTGTAATTAAAACGTTATCACAGCTTTATCATCAGTAGGGTTAGGGTTTTAACATCAGATGTATCCAGTGCTAAAGGTAGATGAGAGCAGCTGTTGTGCACATGTGACCGTGACCTGATCAGTGTTGGAGAAACAGCTCCAAAAGTCACTTGTTCATTTAGTTGTTACTCACTAATGTAACTGGTTACACACATGAACAGAGTAGAGTAGTAGTTAAAACCAAAACATTTCCAGTTACATTCATATCTTCATTACTTGAACCTTTCTCACTGCTACAAATAATTTGACTGAAGGTTCTTCATGCTGTAACAGTTAAATCCATTATTGAATACGTTGACAACTCATTTAGTTTGAAATGAATGGGTGTGTGAACCTTACACAGGGTGAAAAATGAAGAGGTTTTCATAAGTCAAACAGTATTTTAGTCTTCATAACGGTGAACACTTGTGTGTTTGACTTTAACTTTGACAAAACAAAAACAGTGCGTGAGGAAGTTGTTCATGTTGTCATTATGTTCCAACAGCGTGGGACGCCCTGCAGGTGCTTCTTGCTGACGACACAGGTGAGTCGCAGGTAAGGTGGGCTTATCACGTGTTGCGTCACGTCTATGGTTTGGACTTGGAGTTTGATGAAGTGGAATTTGACATCCACTGGGATCAAGCTCTTGTGCCAGAGGCCGGCATGGACGATGACGCGGACTGGGAGGACTGGGAGGACTGGGAGGACTGGGAGGACTGGGACGCCTCCCCCTTGGACGTTTTCTGGGATGAGAACAGTGACTGGGACGATGCACTTGTCCCAGACGATGAAGAGGACAACCAGGACGCAAAGAGTGAGGAGGAAGACCAGGACACAGAGGGTGAAGAGGACAACCAGACTGTGCCGGAATGGTCCCCTTCGTCTCCCAGTCCAGACCTCGTGCCCTCCTGTCCCCCTGTGAGCTTCCAGGACTTTGTGCCCCTAACAAGGGCCAGGCGCCAAGGGGACGAAGAGGAAGAGGAGGAGCCCATCTCCAAGAGGCCACGCTTTTCCTACGACGAGGACATCTTTGAGGAGCCCACCCGCTCCGACTCTGCTGGGACGTTGGAAGGCTTCCCCCGATACTTCCTCCAGCCCCACCTGCCCCAAGACTCCGACTCAGAGCAGGACTGAAGATCAACCTGAGCCTGAGACTGAGCACCTGGAGGAGAGAAGGCAGCACTTATTTCTACAGCACTTTAGACAGCCAGAGCAGGTCACAAAGTGCTTCACATGGGCCGCACACTCCACCTTCAGCAGCGCCCAATTTCACCTCTGGACATTTATTTATTGATTGATTGATTTATTGATTGTGCAAAGTGTTGACACTTTGACTTTAAACACAAAAAGTAGTTTATTTCTGGGACAAGGGTTTCCAACCTGTTGAGAGATAGTGTTAGATGTTTCCATATAAAACATAAACCATTCTCCATGTATTACAAAACATGATATCACTGAGTAACTTCTCTGAAGAAAGACTTTGGAGCAGCATTTGTAGATTCCCTGAGCCCTTTCACAGGCCACTTTGAAAGAGCTGGAAAGCCACTGGTAGCTCCTGTGCTGTAGGTTGAAGACCCTTGTTCTAGTATTAGCAGTAGTTTGTTTCAAGAAAGGAGAAGGCAAAGAAAACGATGTAGGACTTCCATAAAGATGACATTTGTTCACAGCAGAAACACATTGAGCATGAGCAGTAAGTAAATAGATGAAGCTGATGTGAGCAGAGATCTTCAACCTCACTCTGTCCTCCATCGTACTCCTTGCTTTCTCCTCTGGGGAGTCGCCCGATAACCAGCCCTTAAACTTTATACATATAAAGTTTGTTGATTTCTTTATTTATGGTTGTTGGTGCAATACCCACTCCTTTGCTGTGTTTTTTTTTAATTAAAGGAAAGGAATAGTATGTAGGAAGGTAACAAACACAGAACTAAAACTAAAACGACTCAATGACTTAACTGTATTTGAGAATGGATGAAAAAAGAGCTTAAGCTGACTCTAGTGTGGTTTCCTGCATAGTACCCCTGGCCTTGTGTTCACTCTAGTGCAGGGCTGCCCAAGCTGGGGCCCATGGGCCACATTGGTCCCTCTGTGGGGTCTAATGTGGTCCTGAAGGGGTGGTGACATTAGGAAGGAGCCTCTGTTTCCTTCAAAAGACCAAATGAATGAAGGTTTAATTGTACCTGTCTGCTGCTCTAATAAACCTGTTTTGATCAGCACACTATTAGCTTTGGCTCTCAGAACATCAAAATCATTTTGTCCCACGGATCAGAAATTTGGCCACCCCTGCTCTAGCTTAGGAGGGTTTGCAGGAGAGAAGGTGGAGCGTCATCTACAGGGTTGGTGGTGTGATCCCTCCTCTTTTCATTGTCAAATGATTTCAATGAATCATATTTTATTCATCTGCTCCTTCTGCAGGTCTCGTTGATTAATCCTAGTTTTTTTGTTAATATAAAATGTTGCGTTTTATTTATGTACGTATGTGGCCATACATACATAAAAACCGGCAAAGTAGCTCAGTTGGTAGAGCATTGGCCTTTGGGCCTGAAGGATATGGGTTCGAGCCCACCGTAATACCTATGACTCCCACTGATGACTGCTGTCATTGTGTGTCATTGGGCAAGACACTTAACCCCACTTTGCCTGAAGCCCCCACTGAAAGATCTCAGCCCCCATGGACTCACCATCTGCAGGAGAATCAGTGTGGGGCTGGTGCTAAGTGTACTGGGTGCAGCTCTGACTGCCACCCCCCCAACCCAGAAATGGATTAAGGGGAAGAAAATGGATGGATGGATGCATGTGGCCATACCTGCATGTGAAAGCCAGATCCCATCAGACCTCTGAAGCTGTGCAGGGCAGGGTCTGGTTTGTTCTGTGATGGGAGACCTCTGGGCTGTAAAGTGCCAAACTGTTGTTGTGTCCTTAGGCAAGACACTTAACCCACATTGCCTAGAATGGGTCTGGTGTGTGTTTGTGTGAATGGTTGGTGGTGATTGGAGAGGTTGATGGCACATACTACTTGCCTCGTTTCTGTCAGTGTGCCCCAGGGCATCTATGGCTACAGTAGGTGTTTATCACCACCGTGTATGGAAGATGTGCAGCGTCTTGGTCTCCTTAAAAGCACTTTATAAAACACATCCATTATTTCTATTATTATTATTATTATTAAATATTATCATTTGCTGGACAGGAACACTGCTGTCTGACAGAGTTACAAGACAAAGCTTGCAGCTGATGTGAAACATACAGAGTATATATTTTACAAACACAAATATGAAGTTATAATGTCTCCTTCACTCACTCATACACATACAACATTTAGAACTTAAGTGTTCATAACGTGTCAGAGTGAAGAGTCTCTGTGGAGATGGTCCTTCGACTTTATTTGTTCATTTGGGTCTGTGGACAGAAACTGTCAGCTTTGACAACACTCAAAAAGACAGGTAAACATCATCATGTTAGATAGTTCTTATAAAGTCCTAGTATATGAGCACATGAGACTTTAACTGACCCTGAGTCATCGTCAGAGATGTCTTTAAGTCTGTTTTCAGGTTTGTTTTCCCAGTTGGAGACAGGAGTTTGCAGCGTCCAGCGTGTCCCGGTGAGTCAGCCTCAAATCGGTATTGAACTCGCCATGAAAGAACGACTCAGTCTGTTCCCACTGTTCACAGATGGACCTGCCCCTGATGGACCTGTCCCTGATGCAGCTGTCAATAGGAGCATCAGTGAAGCACCACTGTCCACATCAGAGGAAGATGAACAAATCCACACAGACTTGACTCATTCCCAGTGAGGAGCCTCCTGTGTCGTCTGCTGCTCTTCTGAACTACAGTCTTAGAACACATTGGTTTGATTAAGAAGGAAACCTGAGGAAGAACTCCAGAGAACTCCGAAGCCACTGGAATGAGACGATTTGACTGGGAAAGTTTGCAGCCGAATGTGAAGCAGCTGGAGTGAAAATGAGTCCCTCCAAATCCAAGGCCTTAGTTCTGGACTAGATAAGGAGGACTTTCCCTCTTCAGGTAGTAGCATGGTCCTTCCTCAGTGTGGATCTAAAGCTGTTTCTAGAACATGTGATTATTGTCTCTGGGTCCTGTTCACAGAGAGGGAAGGATGGAGTCTGAGAAAGACAATGCAGTGATGTGGCTGCTGTTTCAGGCTGTTGTGGTGAAGAGGGAACAGCGTCTGCACTCAAAGCTCTGGATTTATGGTCATAACCTTTGAGAAATGGACAAAGGAACAGTTGAATAGAAATCCCTCTACTTCAACTGGATGCTTTCTAAGAGATAAGATGAGGAACTTTCTATAGAAAGAACACTTTGAGGAGGTGAGGGGAGGAATCTCTTGAAAGTAGAGTTTCAAGAGATACGTGCCAGACTCAAATGAACATCTGCATTATTTGCTTTTCATTACAGGAATCAAAGGCCAGTGTTGGAAAAGTCCTCCTCTTCATCTCAGCCACATTTTCTTAATCTACGGCGACTACAATGTTGTACTTCCAGCTCCAGCCACATGTAGTCCACAGAACACAGATCCACATGTGTAAGTCAATATCTGAGAAAACAGCTGTTCACTTTGTGTCTGTACATTAGAATAAACTTGTATTTGTCCAAATGTAGGATCTATTCTTGTGAGAGGGACCTGTGGATGCTGCTGTCCACATCAGAGGAAAAGAGGAACAAATCCTGCCCCACACAGAGACCAGACTCATCCCACGTGAGAAGACCTTCTGAAGGCCTCGGACCAACGGTGAGATGTGTGTGAGGTCCAGAGAGGCAGAGAAAGGAGCAGTTTTAACAAATGTTCATCGGTAGTAACTGGTGTAAAGCTTGGCAGTTAGAGTAGTAGTAGTAGTAGTAGTGATTGTCTTGAATATTGAAATCCCTGAGCAGAAAACAGGGATGGAAGAAAGCTGTGTGTAAAAGTCTGTGTATTCTGAAAGGAATGAGGTGCAGGTTTCAGGGGGTGAAACGAGGATGGCTACGATATTTCTAATGTTTTATTTTTATTTCTGTTGTAGAACTACACATTGTTTCGTCGGATTGCTAGATTGCGATCTAAAGATGCAAAAGCCAGTGCTAGTGTCTTTGGACCTGTAAAATGGACTTCAGTGCCTCTTGGTAACCTGAGATGTCATTGGATCTCATACCAGAGCCACAGACACGGAGCAAGAGCAGCCTCTCACAAAGATGTACAGGCAGCCCCATGATCTTCAGGGCTATTTGGACCATCCATCAGCAAATTTAGAGCTGTTGGATGGTCCAAATCTACACAGTGGTCATGTAAAGACACTCCTAAACCACGAAATAAGCTTGTGTTCATTCACCTGGACACAAAGAAAGCTTCAGCACCAAGGAGAGCGACACCCCCTGCACCTGACCACAACCCAGCAGTACACCAGAGGAGATAAGATCAGAGCCATGTCTGCTGAGAGCCAACAGAAGTATAAGTTACAACACAGGTGAGAGCTAAGAACAGCAGCAAATCTTCATGGGGATTTACAACAAGATTCCAACAGTGTAATTGGTCAGTGTGAGGGAAGGAGCAGCGTCTGCAGTGATGCGGTCGTTCTATGGGACTGTTGTGGTGAAGAGGGAGTGAGGAGCTGGCCTGGGATCACCTGGTCCAGCTGCAGCAGGTGAAGAGGGAAGTCTCTCTGCTCAGACTGCTGCCTCCGTGACCTGGCCCAGGATAAAGTTGAAGAAAGTGTGTAGATGGAAGACTCCAGACGAGCCCAGGACAAGTGACCGAGGGATGGAGAAAGTTCAACAGAAGACTGCACTGAGGGAATCCATATGTAGTCACATTAAAAACCAAACAAATATGAAGCTTATGCAGATGTTCAGACTGAAAGACCGAGTGCCTGCCAATCTCACAGCGCTGCCAGCCTCGAGCCTCAGCCAATCTCACAGCGCTGCCAGCCTCGAGCCTCAGCCAATCAAACAGCTCTGCCAGCCTCGAGCCTCAGCCAATCACACAGCCCGGCCAGCCTCCTGCCAACCCTCTCACAGCCAAGCGGGCAGTTTAAAAGGCAGCCACTTCCTGACAAGCAACGCTTCCTGAGGCTCTTAAACACCCACCACCTCCCCAGCACCCCCTCTGGCTCCTGCTCTGGATCTAGGCTCCTGCTCTGGCTCCCGCTCTAGGCTCCTGCTCCGCCTACGCCCCATTCACACCATACTCTAGCCACCACCAGTGCTTGACCCCGGGGGATCTGAGATCATCTTCAGCTGCAATCAATCTCATCGTTGCAAGTGTCACTGCCGGGGTCAATGCGCCAAACAAATAAATCATTTTTAATGTATTAATTGTGTCTTTGGTCTCTTCAGATTGAAATCACTGTTTGTGTTGAAGTGCAGTGTAACATCTACCCAACAGAGGGTGATGACACATTCTTATATAATAATACTTCTTCTGAGGGGACAAATGAGTTCAAGTGACAAATACTTTGCTTTTGAGTGAGTAGTATTTAGAAGGTTGGGATTCTTGGTAAACTCATGCAGCTCCAGTCATTTTTCTTTGTCCTGTTTATGGAATCACATGTCATGAATCCAACTCGAGGTCAGGCTGGACAATTTGCTGAAGACTCATTTCAGCCTTTTTCTGAATTACAAGAACAACACTCTTTGTTGTAAATAGTCTGTTGTTTGCATTTACTATTCAAACTCCCTTAACATCTGCAGAGAGTTGATAAATCACAGAAATAAAGGCAGTATCTCTAAAGCAGACTTGGACATTTGTATTGATGCATTTTTCTCTAGTAGGTTAGACTACTGTAACGGCCTGCTAAGATCTCTCACCTTGTCAGTGTAACTGGTCAGAGATCCCACCAGAAAAACACCAAGCCTGCAAGACACAAGCGACAGGGGACTAGAGACCAGGGAATAGGACAGACACATGGGGAACAGAAGATTTATTTTACTATACTATACTATAATACTATACAAATTAATTGATTCAGTTCAAGTTGAAATAAGAAGTGGTGGGACAACTGTCAGTGACTGACCAATATGTTTTTGCCCCTTTATATACAAATATGTACATCCATAGACCACCCTTACCTGCATTGCTGGTCCAGTAACCTCTTATCTTGGTCAGGTCCTGTGTGCTGTCCCCGTTGTCCTGGATGTCCAGTGAGCTCTGACACGTGTGATCCAGCATCTGTTGCTCCGCTCCGCACTGCTCTGCAGTCAATGAAGACAAGTGCTTCTGCAGGCACCTCTATGCATCTGCACAAAGACAATTTAGTGTTGAGAGAAAAGATTGTTAAAGAACATGTGATGTCTGTCCTCCTAAGTTCACCTTTGTCTGTGCTGAAAGAAAGAAGGCACACACTTTTTGCGGCACCGTCAGCTACGGCCACATTTTCTGCCACTGGAATTTTCAGTGCCAGCTAGAAGTTTTGTTGCATTTCCAGGGGCAGAGAGAAGCTTGGTGGCACTTTAGCATGAATGTCCCCAAGGGCAAGTAGTGGTGCCCTGATTGTTGTCCTTGGAGCAGCTCAATAACCAAGCACAGAAGCAGTAGGTCAAGATGCTCTGCTGAGTTTACAAAGGAAGTAGTCTCTGCTCCAAAGTTTGAAGTTTCACTAGATCCAAGCTAAAGATGTACCACTGTAGAGACGGAACAATCGGCCTGTGAGACCTGGAGAGCTTCATTATAGGAGTCAGGTGTAACTGCCACCAGCAAAACACCAATCCTGTAAGACACAAGAGGGAGACTAAGAGACTAGGGAATAGACAGACACATGGGGAACAGAAGATTTATTTTCTGCACCATTAAACAAATTAATTGATTCAGTTGAAATAAGAACAACTCTGGTGGGGCAACTGTCAGTAACTCACAAATTAGTTTATGCCTCACTTTATACTCATACTGTATCTATACATAGACCACCCTTAACTGCAGTGCTGCTCCAGTCACCTCATCTCATCTTAGCAGAGGTCCTGTGTGCTGTCCCCACTTGTCCTGGATGTCCAGTGAGCTCTGAAACGTGTGATCCAGCATCTGTTGCTCCGCTCCGCACTGCTCTGCACTCATTGTACTGCTCTCTGCATCCGCACACATACAATTTAGTGTTAGGAGAACAGATTTTTAAAAGAACATGCAACATCGGTCCTTCATAGCTCACCTGGGTCGGCTCTGGACACTGATGACTGTCCTTCATAGCTCACCTGTGTCTGCTCTGGACTCTGATGACTGTCCTTCATAGCTCACCTGTGTCTGCTCTGGACTCTGATGACTGTCCTTCATAGCTCACCTGTGTCTGCTCTGGACTCTGATGTCTGTCCTTCATAGCTCACCTGTGTCTGCTCTGGACTCTGATGACTGTCCTTCATAGCTCACCTGTGTTGGCTCTGTTTCTTCTGTAGCAGCTGGATAAAAGGCTCTGCTGGCATTTTCAGTGGAAGCTAGAGGTTTAGTGGCATTTTTATTGGCAGCTATACATTTTGGAGATAGAAGCTGTCCCCTAGGACAGGTAGTGCCCTGATTGTCGTGTTCTGTGCAGCTGGAAAACCAAGGAGGTCAAAATGCTCTCTGCTGAATTTACAAAGGAAGACGTCTCTGATAAATGCCAATTAAATATCAGCTGCAACTAAAATTGCCACTAAACTTCGAGCTGCCGCAGAAAAAAGCAATCTCTTTTTGTTGCACCGGTAGCTACAAAAAGAGATTAAAAGCAGATCCTCTGCAACTGGATCTGATTAGGAAGTGTGGAAGAAGGATCAGGGGGATTACAAGGGCAGGGATGGGGTTACGACAGGGGTGTCCAAACCGGTCCAGAAAGGGCCGCTGTGGCTGCAGGTTTTCAATCAGACCCAGCAGGAGCAGAGTAGACTCCACCCATTTCCTCAAAACTTCAGGTTAAGACTGAACTCTCTTGAGGAAATGGGTGGAGTCTAATCTGCTCCTGCTGGGACCTGCAGCCACAGTGGCCCTTTCTGGACTGGTTTGGACACCCCTGGGTTAGAAGGAAAGAGACAGGGAGGGAGATGAGAGGGGAGAAGAGGAGGAGGGAGGAGAAGGGGAGGGAAGAGTGAGGCAGGGAGGAGAGGTCGAGGACAGGGGTAGGGTGGAGAGGGGGAAGGGAGGGTCATAAGGAAGGAGGGGGGCAGGGAGGTTTAGGAGGAAGGAGAGAGGGAGGAAGAGGGAGCAGGAGACGAGCGGCGCCGCCTCTTTGAGCTGATCTCAGCAGAGCCCCCTGACCTGCTACGTTTGTGGGAAGAAGAGGGAGTGGGAGAAGCAATGTTAGGATCTGAAGAGCAATCTGGGTCACGGAAACCTGACACAGGAGGAGAAGGAAGATCTGGACCTAAACTAAACTCTGGACCTGGAGAGGAATCATGTGAGGGGGAGGCAAGGAGGCGAGAAGAAGGAGCACTGCCAGGAGGACAGGGGACAGCTGCACCAAGGAAGAGAGGGACCTGAATAGGAGCAACAGTGGGGGAGGCAGGAGCTGGATCCAAAGTCTGCACAAAAAAGTCCAGGAACTCCTTAAGGCTCTGGAAATCAGAGGCACAAAAAGAAGACGAGGAAGGCGCAGAGGGAGAAGAGGGAGAGGCAGGACGTGAAGGGGAGGAAAGGCAAGGAGAAGGAGGGTCAGAAACAGGAGGGGAAGGGGCGGCTGCACCATAAGTAGGACTAACCTGTAGAGGAGAAGTAGTGGGGGAGGCAGGAGCTGAATCCAGAGTCTGCACAAAAAAGTCCAGGAACTCCTCAAGGCTCTGGAAATCTGAGGCGGAAAATCAGAAGAGCAGGAAGCGGCGGGAGACGTGGGAGCCGGAGAGGAAGGAGGAGGAGAGGGAGGCTGAACATCAGGATCCACAATGTCCACCTGTGGAGGGAGAACCACCTGCTGGGGATAGTAACCCTGGGGAGGGTAGTCCACCTGCTGGGGATAGTAACCCTGGGGAGGGTAGTCCACCTGCTGGGGATAGTAACCCTGGGGAGGGTAGACCACCTGCGGGGGATAGAAACCCTGTGGAGGGTAGTCCACCTGCGGGGGATAGTAACCCTGGGGAGGGTAGACCACCTGCGGGGAATAGAAACCCTGGGGAGGGTAGTCCACCTGCGGGGGATAGAAACCCTGGGGAGGGTAGACCACCTGCGGGGGATAGAAACCCTGTGGAGGGTAGTCCACCTGCTGGGGATAGAAACCCTGGGGAGGGTAGTCCACCTGCGGGGGATAGAAACCCTGGGGAGGGTAGTCCACCTGCAGAGGATAGTAACCCTGGGGAGGGTAGACCACCTGCGGGGGAAAAAGCCCCTGCGGAGGGAGAACCACCTGCTGGGGATAGAAACCCTGGGGAGGGTAATCCACCTGCGGGGGATAGAAACCCTGGGGAGGGTAATCCACCTGCGGGGGATAGAAACCCTGGGGAGGGTAGTCCACCTGCAGAGGATAGTAACCCTGGGGAGGGTAGACCACCTGCGGGGGAAAAAGCCCCTGCGGAGGGAGAACCACCTGCTGGGGATAGAAACCCTGGGGAGGGTAGTCTACCTGCAGAGGATATCCACGGCCACCTAGAAAAGAACAAAAATCAAGTCAAATATTTGTTGTTTTTAGCATAATTTAAGACGTATTGTCACAATAAAAATGGTTGATCGATTGGCCTCGTTTTTTTCCCGATAAATTATAATATTTTGATACATTTTAAAATTGTCATTTTGAGGCTTTTTCCACTGCCAAAAGGCATAAAAACGGCAAATTGACCATTTCAAACACCAGTAAACTTTTGCTTCTTAAAACATTTAACACTGATCTAGAACTGGAAGACATTAACAAATTCAGTCTCAGTTAACCAAAAATGAATAAAACCTACAATTATTAAATAGCTCACTCCACACTAAACTGTACCATTGGTCAATCTAACTTCAAGCAACAATTAAATAAAATGTATGAACTAAAAATGTTTGTACCTAAACATTTTGTAGTACTATGTAGCCTATAAATATACGTAGAATAATCTCAGAAGGGCAGCTAAAACGATCCATCCATCCATTTTCTACCCCTTAATCCATTTCTGGGTCGGGGGGGGTGACAGTCAGTGATGCCACCCAAGTCTCATAGCACCAGCCCCTCACTGATCCTCCTGCAGGTGGTGAGTCCACAGGAGGACGGCTGCTCTGTAAGTGTGAGCATAGCCTTGATCTTTCAGCGGGGGCAGCTAAAACTATTTCAAGAAAAATGGCTGCCTTTCAAAAAAAATTAACTTTGGGGACATATTTGTTACATGTAGGACATGTCATGTTGGAGGCTTTGTGAATGGAAGAATTAACTGGACAGAGAAGACTATTTAATGGTTAATGTTTGGAGATATAACTATTAATCAATATATAATTATAGATTTTACATTATGCAAAAAAAAAAAATTCAATAACTGCGGACAAACAATTGGACGTAACAATTGTGTCAACTTTTGTTACGCCCAAAACGGCTGTCTTGAAGTGCTGTTAATAATAGGGACGTGAACAAATCTGTGTTTAAGTAGAGCACCCTCCACTGGAAAAAAAACAAGAGTGGGTCTGTGAACATTCACGCGGTAACAGCCGAGGACATTTCGGGACTTTTTTGTGTCATTGACAAAAATGTTACACATTGATACAGTTTAGTGTGGAGTGAGCCAAATACCAATAATTGACTCTTTGATCTCCCCTTTTTTGTCTTTGATGCTATTGTACAGCTATTTTTGGGCAAAAAGGTTCTCTCAGGCAACTCATACTGAGGGTCATATGTGAGCAACAAGCAATCTTATTGCAAGGTTCACAGCTGCTGGAGGTGGGAACCGCTGTCATTCACTACAAAGCAGCAGCAGTTGCTCCAGGGTCAGAACGCTTTGGCAACAGAGGATGCAGGTTCTCGTTCTAGTACGTACATATATTACATCCATGCTTGCTACTCGTGGTGTGCACACACATTACATGCCTCTGATTGGCTCTTAAGCAACACACTTGGAAACGATGCAAACACACGTTTGCACAAATGTAACTTATCGAGGCCGTCAGACTTACTGATCTCATTTTTAGTTACCGCGTGATAACTCAATTTATTGTTAAACCCAACAGCCCTACCCATGTGCCACCAAGCTCCTCCGCAGGGCTCTGAGCCACAAGGTTAGCAGAGTTTTCATGAGAACTAGGGATGTAAAAAACTATGAATTTTCATGGCCGACCACCAAGCCTCATTAACCGGTTGAAACCGGTTAACCGCGTAGTTTGAAATATGCACGTTCTTTGAAATTACAGCCATTTCGAGCCACACATCTTTCATAAGTGCAGCTATACATTCTACGTGCTGGATCAGAGCCAAGACAGTGGAGCGAAACCCGTTATTGCCTCGGCACCTCTGCGCACAGAGAACTGCTTTTTTCCGGCCTGCAAGTGGCACGTTCAGGATTGGCTAGAGAACATCCAACCAATCCGACCAGGTTATTTGACGAAGACACGGGCGCAGGACAGATATTTTTTGTTTTTACACCTTCATTTGAGACTCTGTCGTTGGAGGCCATTGTTTTTGGGACTTTTATCATTTATTTCGTTTAGACATATTTTCTAGTATATTATAGGTGAATATATTGGTTAAATATAATTCACTTTGTTATTTGTGTTGTGTGGGTTTTGATTCAGTTATGTTTTGTGTTTATTTCAGTGGCTATTACCGGCTAATATGTATTTGCTAACTTGTATTTAATTAGCTATTTTAAATATCTTTTCTCCGTTTGGGACACTAGTCATTCAATAATCTTTTTGTTCAAATAAACTTTATGCACACCTTTATTATCTATTATGTAATCTTCCTTTCAACACTAGTTTTTTAAGGTTCATATAATGCACTGTTTCTGTGTCTTGAGAAAGAATTATATATTTTTTTCGTTAGCTGTAAGTGACAGCTACACGCCTGAGCCTTTGTGCTAAAACAGCCTCTGCAGTTCACACGTTTGACTGATATCCTTCTTTAAATGTAGATGCAATGTATTTCCAGATAGAAGCCCATCTTATGCGGAATGTTGCTGCAGCACAATGAAACCAATGGATAGATTTAAAACCGGCACATTCAGAATGCGTTAAAGACTCACTGTTTGCCGTATAATTATAATACATATTATTATATAACTTTATTTACAGACTCAAAGTCACTCCAAATAATACAAACAGACGAACAAAATAAAGAAGGGACCAAACATGTTTGTATAATTAAAATAATGTATTCATTTTTCAAAGCGACTTAAGCAACATCTCAAACCATAAACATTGCCAACATGGCCTAGAATAACGAGAAATTATAGAACAAACATCTCACAGAGATAACACAAACATATTCAGTGCGTAAAAGACGCCTTAACTCCTCTCAAAACATTAGTTTTTCGGCCTGCTACACTCCGACTCCAAATGAGACAGTTACTTATTTTTATTCAAAAAAAACAAGCATATCAACGTGCTCTGGGGTCAAGCGGGTACGCAGTCTGTTGACAACAAGGCCAGCAGCAGAGAAAACCCTCTCCGATGGAACAGAAGTCCCGGGGATGCACAGGTAGCGGTGTGCCACTTCAGCCAGCCTAGTTAAGCGCGTCTGGTTTTCCCTCCACCAATCCAGTGGATTGCTCTCGAGCGAAGGGCGAGGATCTTTAATATACGCATCCACTTCCATCTGTGGATTCGTGGTATCTGCTACGCTATAGTCGTCTCCCAGTAGCATACTAATAGCACTGGATGGCCCCGCTGTCACAGCATCATCGACTCCCCCTGTAGCACCATGCTGCTCGACCTCTTCCTCACCCATGTCCTCCGCAATAGCTGCATGGTCCTCCAGGTCATGAGCACAAAGTTCATTCAACTTATCAAACACAGCCTTTGTTTCATCTCTTGCTAAAAACGGGAGGTGTTTATGCCGAGGATCCAGGGCAGAAGCCATCAGCGCTGGCATGGCAACCAAGCGTGCTTTGTTGTCAACCTGTAAGATTATTACAGCTGAATTAATGTCTATAATTCATTCATCTATTAATTCATAAGCATAACACTATACTATTTCAAATATTAGCCTATATATAACTTAGATGTATGCAGTTCTACCTATGCGGTGTACAATAAATTCATTATTGCCTAAAAAAAAGATTAATCAGAAAGACAACATTATAACATACCTCCATGCGCTCACTCAGTGATTGTCGAACTGTGGCCTTGAACTCCGCCACCCGAGGCCTATCGCAGGTAGTGTTGATCGTGTGTTTCTTTATGATGCTGAAGGTGATGGGGTAGATGTGAGAGATCGACACTGTCTTCTCAGATGACATGATGGTGGTTGCGCATTTCAGTTTTTCCAGGACAGGTTTTAAATCAGCCATTATTGCCCAGTATTCATCCCTGATCTCGAGCACTCTGGCGTCTTGCTGTTTTGTGACAGTGCGGTCGGACAAAACAGCGGTCACTGCCCATCGCTGTTCAAGAAGCCTCTCAAACATGTCCAACACTGAATTCCATCTAGTTTTGCAAGACTGGATGAGTTTGTGCTTGGGGAGCTGCATCTGAAGTTGTTTGGCCTCTAGTGCTTTGCAGGCTACAGTGCTGTGGTTGAAATGGCGAACCAGTTTACCGGCCGCCGATATAACTTTATAAACATAAGGCTTAGATGCATCATTAATTGCCAGTTGGAGTGTATGGGCGAAACACGCAACTGATAACCAGTCCACCCTTTCAGGGTTGTTGGCAGCCACTATATTGGCAAGCATCTACCGCACCGTTTAATGTTGCAGCCAGGTTATCAGCAGTGTGTCTCCCTGCCATGCTTCTTGTGAGGAGGACTGCTGATTTCACCTGCCAATCCTCGTCAGTCCAGTGACAGGTGACGGTCACGTAGCTCTCTGTCGTCAGTGCTGTCCAGCAGTCCGTAGTGATGGCTACAAATCTGGTACGGTGGAGGCGTGCTTTCAGCTCCGCTTTTTTCTTTGCAAAGCGCTCTTCAATGCGAGTAGTTATGGTCTGGCGAGTTGGGATTGTGTAGTTACATTCAATAAATTTAATTAACTCAACAAAACCCTCCCCATTTACAAACTCAAGAGGCAGCATGTCCTTTTCTATCATCTCGCATATCTTTTGGGTAATTGCTTCTGATCGCGGTTTGTCACATCTCTTACCGGCGCCTAGCATAGATAATACGGTGGGTTGGCTTTGGTTACCAGATGAGACCTGCGGCGGGTGCTTGGTTTTCAGGTGGTACATCATGGATGAGGTGCTGCTACTGTATTTAAGAACAGTAGCACATAAGTTGCAGCTGACATCTGTCTCGTTCTTTTTAGTGAAATGGTCCCACACACTGCTCGTTTTTGCACGCTTCATCTTGTTGCCCGGCTTGCTAGCCTGTTTGTTGTCGCTTTGTGGTATCACTAGCAAACCTCGTAAGCGCGCTCCAGTGACCCCACTGGAGCGGCGCGCGCTTACAGCCTGTGTGACCTTGCATCATTTGTTTTATTGATTAATTAAATACAATCAGGCGAGGGATCACTTGTTCACACAATTATCGTGGAATTAATATGGCAAACGTAGTCCACTCCGCTGTCTATAGTAGCGTAACCCCCCCTCCCCATTTTCTATTTTTAACCGACAGCTTTGACCGGTTAACGCTGTGACGGTCAACCACAGGTTAAACGGTCACCGATTTACATCCCTAATGAGAACAGATCTAATATCTAGAGTGAGGAAAATGTGTTTCGATAAAGATTGTTATAAGACAGAGACAAAATCGAAGGAATAATGGCCCCACAAGACCGAAGGGCAATATTCTGACAAATCCCACGGCATCATGCAAACTTTACAATAGCCCAATTTCAAGGGATGGGAACTATGTTGGCTGTTTCAAACAAACGTCTTTACAAATAACTTAAAGTAGGGATGAACCGATACTGTATCGGGCCGATACCATAGGCTTGTACTCGTACTCATACCATAGGACCCACTGACGGCACGACAGCGGACAGCTGTGCCATGGTGCTCTCCCAAAGTTGACAGCGAGAAGGCAAGTTAGCGGCAAGCGAACAGGATGTCTGCCGTATGGCAGTTTTTAAAAGTAAACGAGTAACAAGAGTAAAGCAGACTGCAAAACCGTCCCAATTTAGGTACAAAAAACACCAGCAACTTGATCAAACATCTGAAAACTCACCATCACGGAGAATATAACACCTTTGCTATCACCAGAGCTTTTTCTTTGTATTATTCGAGAGTAATATGACAATGGCTCTTATTGTTGACTGTTAAAAGAATTGCTAATATGTTTAATTGTTGAAGCAATTTCTTATTGTTGAAATGAGAAACATATGCATATGCAGACAATTAAAGGGCCCATCCAACATCAGTGCTACTGATATTGGGCAGCCACAAGGCTCCAACATCGTCCCTCTGCTCTTCTCACGGTATATAAATGACCTGCCATCTGTATGTGAGGATGTCAGAATCCAGATGTATGCAGATGATACGGTCATTTATACATAGGGAAGGGACGCTCAAACAGTAGCCAATAAACTGACTGTAGCAATGGAGAAGGTTGCGACATGGCTACATGATTCCTGTCTCACCAGTGGGGGCAGGTCCCGGCTCAAAAGTGGCCAAAATGACGTGCGCTGACATGCTTGCAATACCACCCCGGGCCGATGGGGGTGGACCCGGAATAAGAATTAGCCAATGCTAACATATAGCATTAGCTGACCTCTCGAAAACACCTTTACAGGATGGTCCAAAAGTTGGCTCTTGGCCCAAAGCTCCGTTTCACATGTGTGTCAATGGTGAAGGGAGAGAATTTTTTTGGACCAGTCAAGATTAGTCGCTGTGAATTTTTGAAGGCACTCGTTTAAATGAATGGGGCTCGTGCCGGCTGACGCATGCGCAGATACGTTTTTTCACATTTTCCAGCCCCGCAGCCATTTTGAATCACTCCATGAAAGCCCAATTTTTGGCCCATTAGTTAGAACGGCGAAGACTACGTCCGTTAATATTTACAGTCTATGTGTCTCACATTAAACATCAGTAAAACAGCAACAATGTACTTTGTAAATAAAAACAAAACAACCTTGTTTCCAAACATAATCGTAAAAGGGTGAGATGGTAAAAAATGTGAATGAATATTGTTACCTGGGTGTAATTTTAGATTCCACCCTCAGCTTTAAAAAACATATCAAACAAATGAGCCTTAGCCTCAAATCCAATATAAAAACTTTCAAATTTGTCAGGAACTCACTAACACTGGAGGGAACCCTAACTTATTTGAATGCAATTTTCATGTCTCGTTAATATTATTGTATAACGTGTTGGTCCCAGGCAAATAAAACCACTCTGAGGTCATTAGAAACTCTGCACAAACAGTGACTAAGATCCTTGACTGGAAACCACGACATGACCATCACTGTTTAGTTCTCCATAAGTACAGACTTGACAATATTCAAAGATTTGCATCCATACGATTGGCAGACAGGATATTAAATAACACCGCACCAGCTCCACTCAAACACTTTGTTCAGTTCACAGATGCTGCGACAAGTAGAATCACACGAGCCTCCACCAGGGGGCTGTGCAGCATACCCAGGTGTAAAACTGCTTTTGCACAATAAGCATTTTCACATAAAGCAATAAAGGAATGGAACGAGCTCACTACAGACATGAAGAGTCAAACAGACTATTCAACATATACAGTAGAACTTAAAAAGTGGTTATGGAGCGATCAAAGCTGCTCACACGAACCCTGAGGTGTGACCCAGGACGACTGATGTATGTGAACTATGTATGATGTGAAATTTACTGAATATTAACGGCTTATTAAACGAGCACGAGGTCTGTGCAGAGAAATATCAGACTGCCTTTTTTGTACAGAAAGAGCCGTGGCGAGGTCTGTGCAAAAAGACCAAGGTCTGATATTTCTCTGTACAAACCGAGCAAGCGAGGTTAATAGATGTTTTATTATATGACTATGTTTAATTTGTGCAAATATTGATCGGTTCCAACTAGCAAAAACATGCAACCAAACTGCCAAATCGTGACATGAAGAACTTATCAGATGATTGAGGTCGCCCGCTGGTATTCAATCTCTTCTATGTCTTTACCAATGCTTTTTAGATATTTGTGAAGTATGTTCATGTCCGACTTGGTTTTCCTAAGGAAGCAGATACGGTCTCCACATTCAAGGCCAGGCTTAAAGCACTTTACTTTAATTTAGCATATAATTAGGTAATATATAATATGTAGTGTATATATTATATATATATATGCTGTATTATGTTATATATTATGTTATATATTATTCAATAATGTATTGTGTTATGTTGTATATTATGTTATATATTATGCTGTATGTTATTCTTTATTCAAGGCTAGGTTTAAAACAGTCCTCTTTAGTTTAGCATATGGCTAGGAAGGTAAGACTCGGAGAAGGTTAAACTCCTCAGAGTGTCAGTCAAGCTGCATAGGGAGTCAGTTTGCTGGGAGAAGTATGGTAACTTGAGCACTATCCTCTCCTCCTTCCTACTTTATCTGTTTAGCATTTTTAGGATTCTGACTGTAGTTTGTTCATTGCTATTCACCCGTTGTCCCATTGTCTGTTTCATGGTACGATGACGGGATCTCTGAGCCTGGCCTCTTCCATCTACACCTGCGGACTGCCCCGCCCGACCCGCCTGGGAGTGCTTCGGTCCTGCACCGGACCTGTCCACGTTCAGCGGCCACTGGTCCACGTTCTGTAGCTAGCTTAGGTCCTGGATCATTAGCCTGTCCGTCCGGAGGAGCGGATCCCTTTCTCATATGGGTCTCCCTCCCTGTGGGTTTCCCTAGTGCTCCCCAAGGTTTCTCACGTTTTCCCACTGGGTTTTTTAAGAGTTTTTCCTTGTCGATGCAGGAGGGTCTTGTTGGACAGTTAGTGTCCAACAGAAAGGATTGGTGATGATCAGGACACTTTAGCATTCTACAACATGTATGGACATTTTCTTCTGTGTGTGCTTTATATTCTTCATGTGTTTTAACTGTTGATTCTCTGATCTGTGTTGGTGATTTCAATGGTTTTGTTAAGTCCTCTGAGATGACTTCTGTTGTGACCTAGGGCTATACAAGAATAAATTGTATTGTATTGTATTGTGTAATCGTGTTTTTACCTTTCTGGTCTGTAACAAACTTGTCAATCTCTTCTTAAGGAGTTGCTGTTATTACTTCCTCTGGCTCTTCGAACTCGTCCGGATAATAGAATTCACTGGGAGTCGACCCAGTCGTCGCTCAATATTTCTTTTTTACTGAGCAAAGACATCAAATCTGATACGCGCTG